CAGAAAGTGATCCTTTAACTAATAAGTCTCTTCCGGTTTTAGCAAGAAACTGGGTGGGGCATCGAGTCGCCCTGCAACGGTTCAATTTGTTAAAGTTTTTCCTTCATGCAAATCATTATATAAGTGACAAGTTCAACTCCCGGAAATAACTTTTCCAATCCAAAACCGTCCAGTTGAAAACTCACATATGTTTTCCAGTTAAAGGTAGTGCCAGGCATACATCCGCAATATCTTCGTCAACTACTTCCATGGGTTCGAAGCTAAATATAGTATCGCTTTATCCACCATTTCATATATCCGATGGTTCCGATTGATTATGATGAAATTTTTAAGGTTTATGCCAAAGAATTTCATTTTAGAATAAGTATAGGCCGTGAAATTTAAAGCTATTTTGGTTGCTTATTGATGACTATTTATTTTCTTTTTTAATTACTTTGTGCGGCGCATGTACTAGTTTACTACATTATGTACGGAAACTGCCCTTATTGGTTTATTTAGCTTTCGGATGCAATTATTATTATTATAAAAATAAAAACATAAAAATTAAATAAATATTTTTTCTTAAAACTACGTATATTTTTTGACAATTCAGTGCGACTGAGTATTTTAAAATTATATTAAGTTGCTCTTAGGTCTCAGCTGTAAGTGGAAAATATGATGATCTCTGTTTTGTAATAGATTAAAATATCAAAGAACGATTTTATTAAGAGGCCAACGTGGAAATGTAACATTTGAATAACGTAACATAATTATTATAAAACAAGAAAGGAAGCTAACTTCGGCACTCCGAAGTTTATATACCCTTGCAGATAGAACTTCTATGACTAGGAATCCATACAATATAAATTAATTAAATATATTTATGTTAAAAAACAATGAAGTAATACCTGCTTTCATTTCATCCACCTATATATATTATATTTGCAGTTTTACATTCACAGATTTGCATTTTTTCTCCACATCTAACGATGGCAACTATATGTTATAGTCGTTCGATTTTCATAAAATTTGGCACAAAGTTTTGATTTGATGAAAATCTGCTGAAAAATTAAAATGTTATAATTTTTAATTGATTTAGTTTCTCGATCGTTCCTATGGGAGCTATATGATATAGTAGTCCGATTTTCATAAAATTTTACTTAAAATTTTAGAATAATATGATGTGGCTATATCTGAAATTTGATTAAATTCTGTTGAAAACTAAAACTGCTATAATTTTTGTTGGAAAAATTTTCCGATCATTCCTATAGCAGCTATAAGATATTGTCGTCTGATCCGGCCCGTTCTGACTAACTGCAAAGATTTATACAGATAGCTTCAAAACTGAGAGACTAGTTGCATAGAAACGGACAGACGGACATGGCTAGATCGACTCGGCTGTTGATGCTGATCAAGAATATATATACTTTATATGGTCGGAGGTGTCTTCTTCACTGCGTTGCAAACTAAACTGAAAATGACTGAAATTTTTATACACTGCACATATATGGGATATTTATACATAAATATTTAAGCTCCTCTGAAAACTATATATATGAGATAAAAATACTCTAAAATAATGCATAAATAATACTTAATAAAGGATGAGAAAAGATGAAAATATATTGAAAACAGGAAAATCAAACATTTTTTCTAATTATTGCCGTGGCACCTAGTTTTGAGAATGGGATAATTTGCAAATCTGATCAAAATGTGTAAAATTTATACTCTTTTACCTTACAAATTTTGATTGAAACAATAATACTACAAAGAACTATAAAGAAAATTAAGAGAATTATACTGTAATGATTTTTTAAGTAGACTTTTCGAGATAAGTATGGTAAAATGTGAAAAATTAAATTTGTGCATTTGAGAGAGATATGAATATAAATGCCCAGCGTTGACTTAAAAAGTGTATACCCTTGCTAACATCAAGTGGAAGAGCATTTTGTTGACAAAGTCACCCTGTATTCCGATTTGAACCGCGCCTGCGTCATTGTCGCCACGCTGCTGATAGTTTGATGTTTGTTTTGCTTCCAATGCACAGTGGGGCACTCAATTCCAAAAGAGCCAAACAATTTGAAAGAATTGTACTATATTGTACTATATTTTCAATATACAGGAGAGACCAAATTTTACCCTTTCTGTTTCCGATCGAAATTTCGATATTTTTCACTTAGGCAGCCCACTGTGCGATGGGTTAGTTCTCAAAAACCTCTGACGGTGGTGAATATTCCGCGAGTGGCGGTGGCACCTGGCACCTCTCGCCTTTTGGCTCAGTCTCTGGCCAGCTTTAGTGGCATCCACACACAGGCCCCAGAATCTCAGAGGGGCAAGTTCAGGGCTCCGAAGCTCCACCAAAACCAGTAAACAATGCCCAACCCACGGGTGTAGGCTCAGTGCGAATCGAGTAAATCGAGCGAATCGAGACCCGCGAGAATAGCAATTCCGGTTAATTGGTCACCAGAGATGTGAGTACACACAGGAAGCATATCCGAGGAGGGAGTCCATGTGACTCGGTTCTCCCTTTTCCAGTTTGTAGGTCGCAGTTCGCAGCTTCCAGTTCCACAGTGGCAACATGGAGAAGTCATTGGCCGTAACTCCCTGGAAGTATGGCCTTTTGGCCACTTGCATTCTGATTGTGGTAAGTGCAAATAGGCCTCGACCCAGACCTCTCCCCAAATCCCTTAGCCTGGTCGACAATGTGTCTGCTTGCACAACACTGCGGTGCTGCGAAAAAGAGCAGAAAAATCAATAATATGCAAAAGGTGCCTGTGCTTTGCCCAAGAGAGGAAGTCACTTGCTCTTGCCTAAAAGTGCCGCTAAAGTCTATTAACAAATTGATGCAATCTTTAAAATATATTTTTATGCATATAATATAATTGTAACCTGTTCATAAATTTACATAATTCAGGCGGTCGGCTTCTTGCAACGCAATTTTATGAAAAGAAAAATGTTTTACGCTTTTCCCCGCATTCAAATCGATTTTGCTGTTTCCCAATGGGCTTAAAAGGTTGACATTGAAATAAATTAACTAGTTAATTTACCAATAGTAAAGGGACTAGTAAGCTGGCACACAAATAGGTCAGGTTGCTTCTTAAAGCTTAGAAATTGCTCTAGTATTTTGTTTATGTATTTTAGGCATGCACAGGCATTCGTTAAATAATATCTATAAACAAATATTAAATATAGTTTCCTGAAAGTACTATTTACGCTACGACTTAAGTTAATGGCTGTCATTTAACTCTAAAAAAGTCTCTATTTAGCCTCCAGAATTACCATGTAAACGCACTGTTTGGTTTTAAATATTCTATGCACACAGTTCATGTGCAGTAAATTAATCTAAATTGATGGCAAAAATATAAGAAAATATATAAAAAAAAAAAATAATTATACATTTTTTGAAATTATCTAGTAAAATCATTTATTCAATTAAGATTTATTGTCGTGGAGGTAAACTTTTACATTAATTTTCACCATAACTAATAACTACTAAGGATACCTTATATTAATATGTAATTAATTATCTTCCAGACGTGTAATGTGTTCTTCTTCTCCTGCGGAGTGGTCACCTGGGGCTCGGCTGTTTCTGTCTACGGCAGCTATGCGGCTGCCATCTGCGGAGTGGCCGTCTTCGGAGTCGCATTCCTGGGCATGTACGTGGCCCTGAAGGTGTCCTACAAGTATTCCATATACGTGAGTATACAGGCTTAGATGGTATCGCTGTATCTTAACCAACGGTGCTTTAGTATCTGATGTGCAGCGGCCTGGTGATTGCCGCCCTTGGCTCCTATCTCTTCACCTTCACGGCAATGCGGGAGCAGCTGATGGGCAGGTTCGAGGAGCGCATGCGCAACCTGTTCGAGCAGAAGACGCACAGCGATGACCTGATGCAGCCGGTGCACAGCCTCTTCGGCTGCTGTGGCCTGGAGGGACCGCAGGACTACCTGAAGGAGGAGCACGGCGCCCTGCCCAGCAGCTGCTGCTACGCCTTTGACTGCTCCAAGCCGACACATGTCTACGAGGAGGGATGTGCCACTAAAGCGGCCGGAAACCTGAGGATGCAGGCGGAGCTTAACTACTACAGTTGCATGGCAATAATTGCCCTCGAGGTGAGCTTGACCCAGAGTGCAACTAGAATTAAATATATGTATATAAAATTAGGGAAGCCTTTTTGAAGAATTCCATTCTTTAAAAAACAATAATATACTATTAAAAAAGTTGAATATTAAATATAGAACAAGAAATTGCAAATAGAACTAAAGTGCACTTCGGAAAGCCGAGGATTTAGCCATGTTTGTCTGTCCGTCCTTCTCTCCATTGGTTCCTCTGTCCATCCGTGTAAAACTACAGATCTCAGAGATTGTAAAAGTTTGCGTTACCAATGTTGGTTACAACATTTACATCTATTTGTCATACAAATTGACTTTTTCAAAAATCATCATCATTAGCATTAATCACGAAAATCGGATTAACGTTAATTGATATAAAATAAGTCATTGTAACCGTGCTGTTGAGGTAGAGATTGTGTTGATAACATTTTATTGATTTAAAAGAAAGTAAATTTAAATTACACAAAAAAATAATATTGAACCAATTTTAATTCCAGTTCATGGGCCTGTTCACAGCCTACTACTTGGGCAAGGCTCGCAAGTATGCCAAAACCAAGATCAAGGATGAGGAGACCCCCATCAACGAGTGATGCTCGAGGGACATCCCCGCTTAATGTTGCTAATACAAGTTAACCAAATTAGCTAATTTGCCATTAGAGAATAAATACTTTCCATATGCTAAACGAGAACCTCGCAGTTTCATCTCTCCGCAAAGAACCTGGCAGCATTGGCAGCGAACAGAGCGATTCTTCGGCATCAAAAATCGAAGATCGGCAACTGAAGAGTGAGGTCATTAGCTATCCGAATTCATTCGCATTTGGGACTCCGATCAGGCTGCTTCGTTCTGCCAATAGCTTCCAGTTTTGTGAATTTCAGTTTAAGAGCGAAAGGATATATCTCCCAATCAAGATGGGCTGTACTTCCGGTTGTGTCAAGTGTTTTCTCAACACCCTCAACACTCTGTATGCGGTGAGTTATTTGTATTAGTTACAACTGAAGGTTGATTAAAAATCCAGGTATAAATCAAAATATATATGTACATTTGCTTTTGTCTATATTATATGCAAAAACAAATACACAAATCGAAAATTCAAGTACATATTCATTTGCAGTGGCTTGACATGCAGGGTTCCATTCAGGTTTTATAGAACCGATAAGTTGTTTTGGCAGCCATCGTTAAAGATATTTCTCGTTTGTCAGAAATGCGAACCATTTGGCGCACTTCAATGGCTTTTCCCCTCTGAATTTCTATCATTGAATTCACTTTGTTTAATTGAAAAATACTTTATGGTCTTAGCATAAGTTGCAGCCTTTTTATACATACTATCACAGAAGCATGAGAGAGAGACTATGACTTTTGGTATTGATTCACAGAAACTTGTTTCAAGCTTGTTCCTTAAATAAATTCCATTGATTTGGCTTAGGATTCGGTAGAGGTTAGCAACCTAGCTATTAATAAGCAGAGGAATTCGTAATATAAACGCAATAAAAAAAGAACAAAATATATAAAGTGATTTCATCGGAGTCTAGTTAAATGCTAATGTTGAATATTAGATATTAATAATTTCAAGCGTATTTACTAAAACTTGTAGGCTTGTATATATTTTAAGGAAAAATTTAATATAACTTCTAGAAACTTGAACGTCTTTACGAGTGTATACCTAGCAGAAGATAGGTAGTATAATACATAAATAATAAAATATATTAAAAAAACACCCGCCTGGAGTCACTGACACCGCTTGCGATTGTCCAAAAGCTAATCTGTTCTGCTTCGACCCCAGCTCTTGGGTCTTTCATTGATAGCCATTGCGACGATCACCCTCTCGAAGGCCCCCTTGCGTACATAGTGTTCCTTTATGGCCTGGGAGGCATCATCTTTATCTCCTCCATCCTGGGATGCTGTGGCATCTGCCAGGAGAATGTGTGCATGACCGCAACGGTAAGTAAATGAGAGTAACTTCTTCCTCGTTTACTGTTAACCAAGTTTGCTTGATATTCTAGTACGGCTTCCTTCTGCTGGGTCAACTGGTAATCAGCCTGTTGGGCATCTTCGGCTTCAAGTTCAGCGAAGAATACATTGAGAAGTTTGCCGCCGATGAGGTTCAAAGGCAATGGGATCAGGAGCTGGTGGAGCCCGGGGCCATGGACATCTTACAGAAAGTGGTGCGTATGCAATCTATTCAATGAATAATATGGGAATAAAACTTAAAAAGAAAGCTAGCTTAGGGACGATTAGAGTTGTACACCTCAAGTATGGCTATATTGTATCTTCTAATTGAGCTTTTCATAAATTAAATTATATGGTGTTACTTATGACTTTACCTAATGCATACATGAGCTATACAAACCTTTTACTCTGTGGGTTCAGGGTATACAAATTAACAAACTAGTTAAAATCGCCTAAAGAACAATGATTTTTAAGCGAGATCCCAAATAGCGTCTTCGTTTATATGGGTAGCGCTATAATGTTTATAATATAATATATAATATAATATAATATAGGAATTTCGCGGTATCGAAATTTGTACCTTTTCTTGTACTCCCAAGCCCCTTGTCACTTTCCAGCGCAACTGCCGGTATTATCTCTTTCAAGGGTGATGAAGTGCTGGTTGAGGTGATATGTGATACCTAGGTCTTACAGTCGTTTAAGGTTTTACTGTATGTGCCCTCTGAACTGAGCGACTAGTTACTGTGAGCGTCTACCACGGAATATGTCATATCAGGCTTTCCACTAAAATCCTAAAAATGTATATAGTTTAAGCGAGTTTCAGTTTTGCAAGTTTTGGTTTCATGAAAAATATTGTTTGAATAAAATAAACTTATAAATATTTATATAACATAAACAAACACGACCAAATCGTTATCACTTAGTTTTACCTATGGGCTTCTATCCTGAACAATTAAACCCTCAACCCTTAAGTGATGCATTTTTTTACCCTATCACCCCATTTACTCTCTAGTACCAATGTTGTGGACGGAACAGTGCCGACGACTATGTGGCCATAGGACGCTCTACACTTCCGGCCAGCTGTTATCCCGATGAGAACACCCAGAAGCCCCACTTCTTGGATGGATGCATCAAGAAGTCCACCCAAAGCTTTGTGGTGCTCTTTAACTATAGCAACGACACCAACTGGATCGCAGTGGGCATAACCGTGAGTCTATATCAATAATTGTATGTAGGGTAGGATCTAACAGGAGTGTCTTCTTTCAGGCCCTGATGGTCATTGCCGCCTTCTACTTGGTCGGACGCTTCCGCAAGCAGCGCATTCGTTACCATTACTAAAACTTTGGACTTTTGTTAATATTGTACAGTTGATTTTTCAGCAAAGGGATGTGAATTTTTGGACTATTAAATAAAAATTGTTTAAACATCTTTCGAGATTTAGTTTTTGCTTTTTTAATAGTTAAATGAACTCAATATCTCTGAAATTGGGTTAAATCCGTTCTGGTATGAATATCTTTCAAGTTGTTATTAAACATTATAATTTTTTTATACCCTTGCAGGGTATTATAATTTCAGTCAGAAGTTTGCAACGCAGTGAAGGAGGCACCTCCGACTATATAAAGTATATATATTCTTGATCAGGATCAACAGCCGAGTCGATCTAACCATGTCCGTCTGTCCGTCTGTCCGTCTGTCCGTCTGTCCGTCTTTCCGTCTGTCCGTCTGTCCGTCTGTCCGTCTGTCCGTTTCTACGCAAACTAGTTTCTCAGTTTTGAAGCTATCTGAATGAAACTTTGCAGTTAGTCTTCTATATACTCTCACTCGTATATATGTCGGAACGGGCCGGATCGGACGACTATATCATATAGCTGTCATAGGAATGATCGGAAAAGTTTTACAAAAAAAATTATAAAATTTTTAGTTTTCAACAGAATTTGATCAAATTTGAGATATAGCCATTTCATATTATTCTACAATTTTGTCTAAAATTTTATGAAAATCGGACGACTATATCATATAGCTCCCATAGGAACGATCGAGAAATTAATTCAATTAAAAAGTATAACATTTTCAGTTTTCAACAGATTTTCATCAAATTTAAGATATAGCCGTTTCATATTATTCTAGAATTTTGTGTAAAATTTTATGAAAATCGGACTAATGTATCATATAGCTCCCATAGGAACGATCGAGAAATTTGAGAGGAATGAGAATGGCGGTGGCTGTTGTCGGAAGACTGACAATCGCGGTGGCGATAACATTTTTAGTTTTCAACAGAATTTAATCAAATTTGAAATATAGCCATTTCATATTATTCTAAAATTTTGTGTAAAATTTTATGAAAATTGGACGACTATATCATATAGCTCCCATAGGAACGATCGAGAAATTAATACAATTAAATTTATAACTTTTTTAGTTTTCAGCTGATTTTCATCAAATTTGAGGTATAGCCATTTTATATAAGTCTAAAATTTTGTGGCAAATTTCATAAAAATGGGACGACTATATCATATAGGTGCCATACAAACGATCGTTTGATGTAGAGGAAAAATGCAAATCTGTGAATGTAAAACTGCAAATATAATATGTATAGGTGAATGAAATGAAAGCAGGTATTACTTCATTGTTTTTTAACACAAATATATATAATTTATATTGTATGGATTCCTATTCATAGAAGTTCTATCTGCAAGGGTATATAAACTTCGGCGTGCCAAAGTTAGCTTCCTTTCTTGTTTTATTTTGTTTTTGATTTTATTATTTTCAAACAAGTTCAAGTAAAAGATTGCCATATTTCAAGTTCTGAATGTAAAGGACAAAATCCAAGTAAAAAGACTAGTAAATTAAGATAATTTTCTCTAAGATTACACTAGAAATTTCCAAGTCTGAATTCTGTGACACTCTTGACATATATATCCAGTGAAAATAAAGCAGTCCGATCTTTAGCTGAATCATTTGTGATTCTTCTCACAAAATCGATCCGTGCGTGATCTTGCATATAGTTTTGCCTTGATTTACGTACTTTAAGCAACAACCTGAGTTAAATAATCTATTTATGTGTATGTATTAATTTTTGTTCTATTTTCATTTGTTGATTATTTTATGTTTTGAATACTAATATTAGTTTTGCTAATTTTGGCGATAGCTTGATAAGTAATAGTTTGAAAGCTCAAGAAATGCAATATATAATTCATACTTTTATAAAGCACTGTATTAGCAACGATTCTCTGAGCTAATCTCTCGTTTTGCTGATGGTGGCGTCATTCAATCTCAATTGTCTGACGCCATCGAGCTGAATCAATCTCAAAGGTATCAATACGATCGATCGCGAGTAAATTGCTTGGAAAGGGGGAGCGAAGGGGCTTGACTCCCCTCTCCCTCCCTCAGTTAAACATCTGGCGAATGGCGCTACGCAGGGCTTGCTGCCGCGGAGCTTACTCCACAACTTCGGTTCTGTGGGGCATAACCAGCTCCGTGCTCCCAGACCCTCCCCCTCCCACTTTCCGTTTGTTTGGCTTCCGAATGACAACAACGGCCATAGAGTTGGGTCTCTGGTTTTGGTTTTGTACGCGAGCATGTTGTTGCCTTTGCCTCTTGACTTTGCTCTTTGTGTTTGCCCACTGGCCGTGTATGTGGGTACAGTGGATACTATATGTTGACGAATTTTTCTAATATGAATTGTTCTAAAAGTGGTAAAACATCGAGAGACTTATGGTGAAAGTAAATAACCTAGACTTATCTATTGATTTCACACGGACAGTATTAACATTGGCTCAGAAGATAAAAACTCATCTACAATATCAAATTTAATACTCTTTTCTCTTAATTGAGTTAGTTAAGTTACGAAATCTATAATTCTCTACGTGCAGCTAATTATAATCAACTGTCTCTTAAGTTTCAGAAAAAAGTTTTAAAAAACTTTAAAATATTCAAATATACTCCTAATATTGCTGTGGATCTTAAAACCAATAAAATGTTTTGATAAATATTCTAATATAAATAAAATAAATAATATAAATAAAACTTATTATTTTAAAAGATTTGTAATTGATTTTAAAATCCTATCCTGCAGTACCATTCATAAGTTATATCAGTAATACAGAATTGGTGATAACTTATAATCATCATGACGTTTTATACAAAATTGATGATATTAATATTAACATATCCTAATATATCAGTGATAAAATAAACAATGATTAAAATATATTAAAAATTCATCAACATTTATGGAAAAAATTCAATCAACGATTAATTAAAATTTTCATCTAGTATTTATCAAAAAGTTTTCAATATTTCATTGACTATTCCACAACATTTCGTCACTAAATTCAGCGACACTTTATATTCATTTTCATTGATTATTCATCAATAAATCATGAACATTTAATCAATTATTCATCAATGATTTATTAACATTTTCATAGAATTTTCATCAATAGCCTTTTTAGACCTTGTCCACGGAATTACTGTCAGAGCTTTAAGTCCCGCTATCATAGGCTCCACTGTACCGGCATGCTAATGTGTGTGCGTGTGGGGTTTTTTGTTTGCTCTAACAAACGCCGCTAGACGGCAAATGTGGCGGAGCTTCGGACCCGCTCGCCTCGGATCGGATCGGATTCCGGGCCAGAGAGTTTTGTGGCGCGCTCAGTTCCCCTGAGACCGTAGCCGCAACAGTGCGCACTCTTGCACCGATTCTAGTTTTCCGATTCCGATATTCACTCGCTTTTCGAAAGGTCCGCCGCCGAACTGTTGCACGTGCTGCACTGCGTCTCGATTGCAGCATTCCCGCCAGAGGCCAGCATTCAAAAAACTAATAGAAAACCGACAAAATGGGCTGCGCAACGGGCACCATTAAGTACTCGCTGTTTCTCTTCAATGCCTTATGGGCGGTAAGTAGAGCACCGAATTCGATTTGGCGCACATATGGCGCGTTTTAGAGTTGGGATGATGATGATGATGTTGGTAATGTGTGGCCCCCAGCTAATAACGCTGCGGCCTGAAGGCGCTCTGTGCTTGTCCACCTGGCCAGAAGATGATATCATCTCCGGTGCGTGCTGGCTCTGACTACACTTCGCGCTGTTCGTGTGAATCGTTAGCCAGCGTCTATTGCCAGTGGTGGCTTTGCATTCCTCGCGTCCAGAGGAGAGCTTCGCCAGAGCGGCCAAGATGCGTCATGCAGGCGGCTTTCGATATACATATGTATAAGCCGAGCATTTAAAAAGCTAATACGAGCGGAATATGCAAACCGGATTAGTCGGTGACAATAGCGATGAAAACAAAAAAGTTGGGAGGGAGCAGCAAAACTGTCTGTGGCCTTCAGAAGGCCACGGGAGAGTAACTTTATTTGGATTTTCATTTTGGTTTGAAACAACATATTCGTTGATACTTTTAAAAAAATTCCTTATGCTTTCAAAAGCTTAGATTTATTAAGAATATCATTTTGATAAGAACCATTTTAGCTAATACTTTGTCGAAGTTATTTATTAGTTTCACAGAATGTTTCCCTTGAGGAATGTTTTATCAAAGATTAAACACACAATACAAACTTCAAAGTGGGAGAAAAAACAGAACCCAATTATATATCGTGCATTTATGTATATTGGTAACGCCCCCAATATTTAAACATATTTTAGATAGAGGTACAGGCTTTCTTATCTCCTCTGTTTGGTATCATTAAAAATTCAATATTTTATTTTGTGTGCAATTTTCTCTGATAATCCGACAGATACTTGGAATTCTTGTGCTTATCTTTGGCGGCCTCAGCTGGGGAGGGATGCCGGATGAGTACGCCATCGGAATTTTGGTTTTGGGCGGCATTATCCTGATCATCTCACTCTTCGGATGCTGTGGCGCTGTTCGCGAGTCGCCGCGCATGCTCTGGACGGTAAGTATCTTACGAATTGCTGATGCAATCGAAGGGAAACAACGCTATGAGTAACTATTTGCGAATTTCCCACAGTATGTGTCACTGCTGCTGGTGTTGCTGCTGCTGATGGTGGCCTTCATCATCCTCAATCCCCGAGATGTCTTCAAGAAGTACGCAGCTCAGAAGGTCGAGGATGATTGGAAGCAAGAACAGACCAAGCCCGGTAGCATGGATCTCATTCAGAGGACGGTAAGTTAAGGATTAGGTCACATCAGACAGATATCCGGTTAATCCTTTCTACTTTCAGTATGCCTGCTGTGGTCTCAATAGTCCACAAGACTATCTGTCCATCAACTTCTACAACCAGACGGTGCCCAGCAGCTGTTGCAAGGAGCTCAACTGTGTGAATCCCCTGAATCTCTACACCGACGGTTGCCTCAAGAAGGTGGAGGAAGCCTTTGCGGACGAGGGCTCCACCACGAGTTACCTGGAGTGGGGTCTGCTTGGCTTCGATGTTGGTTTTTCTACTTTCCTTTCCCCGAAAAGCACTTACCTAATTGCACTTGTCTTCCTCCGCAGGTGGTCATTCTTCTGCTGGCCGTCGTCTTGGCCATCCATTACACGAATCGTCAGCGACGCTACAACTACTAGAGCCTTATTACCGCCTAGCAAATCAATCTCTCCGACTCCTACCTGCGTCAGTCGTCAGCGTCACCCATGTACCTTGCTGTTAGATCCACCAAACATTGCGGGTGGAAGCCACTTGCCAAGCAACCGAAGATGCCTTAAGCGTTCATGAACACAAGTTGGTTTTGAAAGTTGTACCTTCATTCGAAATATTTTAATTGGAACTACATACATTAAACAAATGTTTTGTGCAGTTTCTTACGAATACTTAGATTAGCTTTTTGAAAGAGTTGAAAATAAAATTTAAGTAAAAAACAATTCGATTAAACTCCTTGGAGGGGAATTCATTATTGTTTCTACTTTGTAAATATAATTTTTTCCACGAAATCAATTTTGAATCCTAATTTTGTACACATTTTTTAGGTTTTTAAAATCTCTCTAACAACTCTGTATATTTCTTTTTGTACCTTTCAGTGCTATATCCAAATTTAAATGAATTTTATTTCAAAACACACCTATTGACCTTAGTTTTTAGAAGTTTTTTTCTATCACAGGAAGTTGGCCATGGGAAAGCTCGTTGAATCAATAGCTTAAACGACAGACTTCTGGTTTGCTGTGTCCATAAGAAAGCAAACCAGAGCCAGTCCCAAACATAATTAAGCCCCAAATGACGCCTCCTCACCACATATGTATACATGTGCATGTATATTTACGTATGTACATATGTAAAATGTGGGAACAGTACGCTCTCGATACACTGAACCAACAAGATCCTAAGCTTACTCAATTGGCCTTTAATCCCTTTCCTAATTTAATTTTATAAAAAATATCATGTCTTTCAAGAATCGATATTGGGTTCAAAAAGTGTTCATCAATTAGGGCTTTTACTGTACATAAATATCTGTGTGGGTGGGGGGTGCTGATGGCTTGGGGAGTGAAAAACTGAAAGGAGAGGGAACCAAGGGGAAATTCTCGACTCCAGACATAACAACGATAAACAAACTCGAAAACAAAACGGCTTAACAGACCGAGGAGAGAGGAGTTGGGGCTTGGAGCAGAGAGAGCGTGACTCCAGATTGAGGACTGGGTGAGTAATCAATGACTTATTGACAAATTGACGTCATGGTGTCCAAAAGAAGAATATGCGGAGTTGAGCTTCTGAGCTCAGAACAACAGTTGAGGGCAGCATTATATGGGTAAGTCTTAAAAATTCAAAATAAAACAGATTTTTTTTTTTTTTTTTGTATGTAACATTTAAAATACATTTTGCTAATATTTGAATTATCATTCAAAATAAATATAATTTTTATCTTTTACTTTTTCAACGATGTATAATTGTCGGTTGGTTAATTATTTTGGTTTGGCCAACTCATGGTCTAATCGGCTCGATTTTAAATGATGATCAAGGCTTATATCCAACTTTCCTTCTCGTCAAGCTGATTTCCAAGGGAAGGAAAAATACAAAAATGTATTGAACATGATACAAACTCTTTAAGGACATTTTATATATGGTCATTTACGATGAAAAATTGATAAATACATTAAAAAAATGAAGCAAGGAAATGTCACTTGGAACATTGGCTCAAGCAAACAACTCAAAATTGTAATGTCAAACAAAATACAAATAACAAGAAAAGAAGCTAACTTCGGCACGCCGAAGTATATATACCCTTGCAGAGAGAACTTTGATGACTAGGAATTAATACAATATAAATGATATATATTTATGTTAAGCAACAATGAAGTAATACCTGTTTTAATTTCATTCAAATATACATATTATATTTACAGTCTTACATTCACAGATTTGCATTTTTCCTCTATATTTAACGATTGTTTCTATGGGAGCTATATGATATAGTAGTCCGATTTTCATAGAATGATATGAAATGGCTTTAACTTAAATTTGATAAAAATCTGTTAAAAACTGAAAATGTTATAATTTTTTTTTTGTAAAAATTTTCCGATCATTCCTAAGGCAAGCCATATCATACAGTCGTCCGATCCAGCCCGTTCCGACATATATTTGAGTGAGACTATATAGAAGACTAACTGCAAAGTTTCATTGAGATAGCTTTAAAACTGAAAGACTAGATTTCGTAGAAACGCACAGACGGACAGACGGACATGGCTAGATCGGATCGGCTGCTGATCCAGATATATATATACATATATACTTTATATGGTCCGAGATAACTCTTCACTGCGATGCAAACTTCTGACTGAATTTATAATACCCTGTAAGGGGGTATAAAAACTAATGATTTATAACTTTTAAAAATAAAATCCTGCATAAAAATCTACAAAAGCGTCTGGCTCATATGATTTTCCGGAGTCCGGACATAAAAAGTTAATCAGATGAATTGATCTAGACACAACATTCAAAATTATTCAAATTGAATTGAAATAAATATTTTTGTTTGAAATAAAATAATGTATAATAATAATAAATGAACAAGCACTTGAGTTTTAAATAGAAGACTTTTGAATTAAAATCTTACATTTATGCTTCTCCAATCGATACACTTTTAAGTTGTTTTTTCGATTATAAGTCAATTTAATTATTCCTTGATGGCGTCTAATCAAGTCGATCTTTGGTATTCCCGACACACTCAAAGTCCGCGCCGAGCTCGAAAAAACACCACTGAAAAAAGCAAAAGCACTGTGACGTCATGGCGTGGAGCGCTGACCTAAGTGCAATGCGCTCTCTACCCACCTCCTCCCCCTGGCGAGGGTGCGGGTGGAGGTGGAGAGTGCGTGCACTCTCCCAGTCCGGCGCTCTCTCGCATTTCGCCTTTTTTGTGGCCGAAGCGGAGAAGTGGAGAAAACAGAACGATGGGAGGAAAACAGAACGGCCGAAACAGAAACGCTTCCCGCTTTCCGCTTTCAGTTCGCCGCCGAACGCAGAACGCGCCAGACCCGAAAAGTTCAGTTTCGAAAAAATTATCCCGGAAACTTATTTCGCTGTAAATTCAAATCCATCTAAAGCCAGGAAAGCACAGATCGCGAACGTAAATAAACAAAGCGAACTTTAATCGTGAGGGACTAGAAAAGTCAAAAGGTTAGCTACTCGAAAGTGTTTCGAAATTCGGACCTAATCGACGAGGGGATCGTGTTTTTCAGGTCCGCCAACATGGGTTGCGCCACCACCAGCGTCAAGATCACAGCCATCGCTCTAAATGCCATTTTAGGGGTAAGTCATCTCGAATATGGACAGCTAATTACCTCGACCCCATCGAGTGGTCCGTATATGCGGTTTATCCATATTTCGGGCAAGGAAATTAGCATGATGTCATATGGAACGAGTGCACGAGTGAACGAACGAATGAACGCACTTCAAAAAACAGCCTCTAAGTGAATTATTATTTTGAAATATTCTATACGATGCAAACTTGAAGAGTGAACACTGGGAAAAAATATATCACTAAGAATACTATCTTTTACGAGCAAATAAGTACCAGAGTGTCAGGGAATTAATCTTCATAAAAATCCAAAGGTATTCCGAATTGTTTACTTATAATGTTTGCATTTTCCAAAAAGAAAAATTTATGAGATTTCGAAAACTACACAGGGAGAACAAAAAATTCTGTGAGAGAATAAAAGCTCTAGGAATAATTCATTAATTTTGTAATTTATACTATCTTTCAGTAACAAAGTTCTCAAATAGCTCACTGTTTAAGGTGTTCCAAATCTGGCACAAATTCAAAAGAAATACGCTCATAACGTTTCCTTTATTTATTTGTTATTATTTTTTTTACTGCATAAAATACACTTAAAGTGTATATTTTGAAAATTTTCATTTGCCTCGGAAATTCTCCGTGGCCTGGTGTGTATTTTAAGCAATTTCTGTCATTTGTCTGTCTCGTGGCCCACCTGAGATAGACAACGGCCTGGCCTCGAGGTGGCCTATAGTCCTCGTCCACCCCTTCTGGTCTGGTCTAGTCTGGTTTTCTGGTTGCCATGACAATCGTGTTTACGTTCTGGCCTGTTCCCGTCCGACCCACTGCCTTGGCTTCAGAGCCTTCAATTGCTCCCAATCGCAGGTCCTTTCCCGCAGGATGATGTCATGCCCACGTCCCTCGACCAATATTCGCACTCGGATTTACACTCTGACCTATATAGCGGAATCGAATGGAGTCCCTGGAGCCCCAGAGGAGAGAGGGCGCCTGAAATTGGGACACAAACAAGGGTGCTTCGTCATCCCCCAAAGGCAGCCCAGGGGAGGGTTCAGTACACAGTACATTATCACAGCTCAGTCAGGCGAACTTCCCAGAACGATAAATAATGCCATGCACTCTTTTGTACGGCTGTTAATTGTCACACAAATGAGTGGCAATTGCCCTAGTAATTGCAAGTGCAACCGGATCGTATTCTATTCGTACAGTCGAAATTCCCTTGTAAAAAAACTATCACACCACTTGTATGGTTTCCAAAAAGGGAAGATTATTAGTAGCATGCACTTTTTTCCAATTAGATATTGTGTTTATTTAGCCCAAGGGCTAATGAGCTTGATTTAATGAACATAAATTCATCATAAATTAATTAAATAATTAATCATAAGTGCCTTGAGAATTTTTAGTTAAAGATGTGGTAGCGTCTTGCCGTTTTCACGTTCACAAGCTTTTTTCGACTTGATAAACTAGCAAGTTTTTCTTTTGGAAATGACATAAAAGCACATTTTATTTTCAAAACAACAAATGTTTTACTCATTGATCTACTAATGAATATTCCACACGCTCAGTAAATCAATAAAGTCAAGAGATTTCAGTGTAGTACCAATGGAATGGAAATCTCCAGAAGTTAAGCTATTTACCAATTGGCAAACTGTTTTGCAAAATCAGCCATTATTATGCTCCTTAACAAGCAATTTAACTAATTAAATACATTTGAACACTATTCTATATAAAACATGCAATTGTAGTAGAGTAGCAAGAATATTAAACATAGTTCAACCCAGAAGATGTTTTAGTTTACGTAGGATAGCTAATAACTTATATAGCATTAAATATCTGTGTTTCAGTTATCATGTTTCCACTGTAATTAATTTCAGTTTCTGGCTGTGGGGGCTATCGGTTGGATTGCTTACAATGCGGACACGGAGACGGAGGAATTCGTCATAGCTGCCTACATTGCATGCTCGGTCATCCTGCTCTTTGCCCTGCTGGGCATCTTTGCAGCCATTCGGGAATCAGTGGTTCTGACAGCAACGGTACGGGTTTACTAAGATCCAATCCTGAATAAGGGAAAATAATGATCTATATCGTATTCCCTAGAGCGCCGTGTTCCTGCTGATCCTGGCAATCCCGCAGATTGTGAGCACCTGCCTCTTCCTGCACCAGTACGATGTGAAGAGCGGCCAGGAGATGGTGGAGGTGGCTTGGGAGGCCAACAACATGGACGCACTGCAGCAGAAGCACGAGTGCTGCGGTAAGGCCAGTGCCCAGGACTATGTGCATCTCAGTCAGCTGATCCCTCCCAGCTGCTACGCCGATCTGCAGCAGACACCCGACCATCTGTTCGTGGAGGGCTGCATCGAAAAGCTGCAGAGCTTCTACGAGAGCGACAAGCAGCGGTTCATCATAGTGTCCTGGGTCCTTGTGGCCTTCGAGGTGGGTTTTGAGTTGCTAAGCATATCAAACTCTTTATAAATATATTGTTTTATTTCGCCACAGCTTATATGCTTCGCCCTAGCCGTCTTCCTGGCCGTCAGTTTTCAGAATAAGCAGCGGCGAATGGAGTTTTAGGACGCCTGGGGGAATCTCAGCCTGATCCCAGCACAGTACAAAAGGAACTCGGAATTGGGGTCTCACTACTAGCTTGTCTCGCTTCGACATATTTTGAAACCAAAAGATTGGACAGTCATAAATTATTCACTCCTACTTTAAACTTACCTGTAATTAAACTACATAAATATAGTTCAATTATCCATTATAATTATCATAATAAATGTGCGCCATGTTTGTTTTCACATGTCTCGAAAGTCTGTCAGTTTGTTTGTTTGCTTAGCGGGATGGAAATATTAAGTATACGACGCGTCGTCCCCCCGAGCTTTTTGGAAGGCCGAAACAGTTTGCTATTTGCGTTTCGGGCGCAGACAACTTGTTGCTCTTCCACTGTGCGAAGGGTACAGTAGGTAATGTTTGCCCTAATTATGGGCTGACTAATTCCACAGGCCATAAATACCACAAAGATGTCCTGTCATGGCCTCCACGCTGCTGTGAACTGTGCCATGAATGAAAGCTTTGCATTCTTTCCCCCTCCAGGTCCGGAATAACACAAAGGCGGTGGGAGCTTTCGTCGGTGTGACATCATACCCCCCACAAAAATGGACGACCCCACCTCATAAAGCAACCGCAATAACAAAACAAAGTACACTCTAAGAAATATTTGTGGAAATAGGTTCGACTCTAATGCGTATTATAATTGTTTTATAAAAATACCATGGTTTTTTGTAAGTTTTTAATATAATGGCGTTCCGCTTTGTTAAGTTGGTGATTTTGGTTAATTAATTATTACTTTAATTTTTTCTTAAATAGTATTGTTCATTTATTTTTGCGAGTATAATTAAACAAAAGTTTACTTAAAGAGATGATACAGATACTTTATGGATTTGAAATTAATTAATCAAAAGAATGTTACCACATAATATTCCTACAAATTTAAAAACAGTTTTGGCCTAATAAATACACGAAATAGCTTCAAAAATCTCTAGAACTTAAAAATATCAAAATTAGTGTTAAATATTAGTCTATTAAATATACAAAGGGTACAGAAAAACTGATATGCACTTAAAGTTTTGCATTTGAGCGGCTTACAATGATTTTTGAAACACCGTTTATAACATAATTTTCTACTTTTATCTATCTTAATTAAATTTATTTCAACTACATTCCTATTTCTCTGATACTTTAATATTTGTATTCGTTGAAACTAATGTAATTTACTCTAATTTAATTCTCATTTTGATAATGAATGAGAAGAACTGTAGTTAATAATCGCAGTCGTGCCGTCGCATAGAAATATCCCAAACTTAGTTAAGTTAAGGAAGACCTCGAATTAACCCAAACTCTTTAAGATTCTCTTCGCCTGATTATTTTTTCAAGTATATCAACAAGAACCGCCGTGGAATAGTTGATTTCTGTCGAGTGGCGGAACCTACCAACTGTCGCTTTTGGGGGGCGCCACAATTTCAAATAGAAAGCGTCGCGCTCAGTCGCACGTCAACGTTTATGGCAATAGGGCTGGAGCTCATCGGGGCACTGACTTTCCCTCGGACATCGCATCGGGCCAACTGCGCAGCGGAAAACAGGTGCGGGAGCACGGATAACGCAGTGGTTAATTTTAGCGATTATCGATTGACAACATGGCCTGCCGCACATCCTTCCTGAAAGGCGTTCTCATCATACTCAATGTCCTGCTTTCGGTGCGTCTGTGAGGGTTTATTTCAGGCTCTTTGAATTTGAATCAGTGCATTTTATTTTTGGCAGCTGCTTGGCGTGACTCTGATTGCGTTGTCGATATATGAGCTGAATAGCTCCACGCCGGGCACCTTCGAGCACATCGCCATTGTTGTCCAGATCTTCGTGGGCACCTTTGTGGTATTGACCTCGTTTCTGGGCTGCTTCGCCGCCGCTAGGGATTCCCTTGGTCTCGTGTGGAGTGTATGTATACTTTCGACACCTCTCAAGATAGGTTTTAAATAGGTGAGAATTCTTTATAGTTTGTGATCTGCCTGCTAATCCTGCTGTGCCTTCAAATCTACATCATTGCGGCGGCGCACTCCACGGACTATGTGGAGCGGTCCAAGAGCGACTTTCTGGCCATCTGGGCCCATCAGAAGGCCAATGTGGAACGCATATCCGTCATTGAGCAGAAGGTAAGTAATTTGGAAAATATAATAAAAAAGATATAAATTATATAAACAAAAGTTACGCTTAAGGACAACATATTTGATCAAGGCGCTAGTTGCTTTGTAAGGAGAATTTCTAAGACAGCAATTATGGAAACGTTTTTAAAGTAAAATTCTTTAAACATCAGTCAAGTTATCAAATTATTTTCTCTTTTTATAAATATCCCCCAAATTCTCTTATTATTTTTAACAGCTTCAAATAAGGTTAAAAATGACTTCATAAAATGTATAAATTTCTGTAATAAGCCACAATATCTCAGAAGATACGAAATTCTCCCTTCAGCATTATTATATGTATATTAAAAAACAATAAAAAGCTTTAAAGTATTTATTGATTTCAAATTTGAATGATCAAAATCGAAATAAGCTTTTCAATTCATGCTAGGTTTATGAATATGCTAAATCAAATAGGTCTTTATTTTAAATTGAGTGATTTTGAAAAATATCAAATATATATGTAAATTGATCGTATCTATACAATCAATGTGATTATATATTATATAAAATAAATACTTTTTACAAGAGTTTTCTTTAAAATATTATTAATTTGAATATAAATGTGACTGAATTAAATGCTAAATGATAGCTAAATATCGTCCTTTTCAGCTAAGAATAAAATTAATATGTTTAAGTGTTAGCAGATAAAATTTGTGAGTTCCTAGTCTCGAGATCATTGCTATTATTCTGCAATTTTACTTGTCAATATTCGCAACATAAGTTTAAAATTTCTAAGTTTAAATTTAAAATTGTTGAGATGACAGTTTAATATGTTCCTCTTAAAGATTACAATAACATTAAATTGTTTAACTTTAGGCAGTTATAATTTACCAGCCCACAGGACTAAGGATCTTACCTAAATTTTTGTTAAAAGTTATCCAATTACTAATCCCTATTAAATTTTAAATTTTGTCCTTTTCAGTACTCCTGTTGTGGTCAGTCGGGTGCTCACGACTACATCCTGCTGGGCCGCGGTATACCCATAAACTGCTACAGAGACTTTGAGCGGCAAGGCAACTATCTCTTCACCCAAGGATGTCTGCAGGCTGTGCAGGATCATGCCACTGACAATGTGGCCATTGGACTTGTGATCAAGTGGCTGCTGCTGCTGGTGGAGGTGAGTTGTTCCGTTGCGCCGACGACCTTGGTCACACATTGCTGAGGGCTTAGGCCACCAAGGACGGTGCCGGAAATAGACTCCAGATATATAGGCGGAGTGCTCTGATCAAATCCCCCCACCCTCTCTTCCCCCAGCTCGCCGCCCTGGGCGCTGCCACGTACTTGGGCATCACGGTGCGAAACGAATTGCGGCGCGAGAGATTCTAACAGGTCGCCCATAGCCAATAGCGGGCGATGGCTAACGGACCACGGAATCCCGAATCACCCTGAATAAACCGATATCTATGAATTTTTTTATAGCAGTTTGAGATGATCTGGAGGCAGCTGAGGCGTGGACTAAGAAATAAACCAAAATGAAAATATTCAATAGCCTTTTCTTTTTTGCCACTATATGCGGAATATCGGGGGAGCTGCTAAGTAGATATATGTACGTATGTCTGCCTATAAAGACGCATATAAAAATATACGGAAAATGCGGAATAGTGGATGGAGGGCGACATGGATGGGAGGGGGGCGAAATGGGGCTGGGCGAACGCCGGTCTCTTGAGTAACGACCGGCACACCAAACACAAAACACAAAACACCGAAACGGAGACGGATACGGACGCGGACGGCCACTCAGCGGATTTGTAAACATTTCGCAGCTTCTTTGCGCTCTTTTTTTTGGCTTTCGCCTTATTCTGGCCAGAACCGACGGCACTAACCGTTTGGTCACTGGCGACGCGCGTCGCTCAGTCGGACGCGAGTGAGCAGCGAGTGAATCTGCCCGGGAAGCGCGTCGCTAGCCTGGAACTGCTGCTGGAAGGAGCGTTTAATAAAATATAAAAAAACCTATAGAAAAAGTAGTCATAACAATTAGTAAAATGCCCACAGTTCGCGTGTGCCTGCAATGGACCTCGGTGGTCTTCAATACAGTCACTTTGGTAAGATAAATCTCGGCGGCATACGCGGCGTATGCGTAATTCGCAGCCACAAAGTTTCCATGTTCAGAAAGTATATGCAGGCGTATGAAATATTCATAAATCAGAGGTTAAGCACTCATTGACATTCCTCTCTGTGGGATAATTTCAATAAAATGCTTTCGAGTTGCACTGCTTGAGTCACACACTGCGTATGAGTAATGGCCATACTTGTGGAAATCATGGAAATCGCGATTCACAATTCGAATCTATCCCGCTGGCAGTCTGTCAAAGCAAGATCATTAAATGTCTTACATTTTTGTGTCGTTTTTCATTGTCGAATGTGTAATTTCCTTCGAGTGACGCTCGAGTAGAAGGCCAATTTGGCAGCAAACAAATCCCATTCCAATTTTCCATTTCCACCAGACAAGATGACACTGGGATTTTGTGTTTTCTTGAGTTCCCCCTGATTTCTGGGGATGGCGAATTTTTGGCACCCAGAAGCGACAGCAAACACGAAAGGAAACTGTGTATGTGCCATTTAAAAATAAAGACCAAAGTAATACAATTTATTTTTACGCCCGCTTTGTTTTTATTTTGGTTGCTCTCGCTGCCCGATGACGTCGCCCACGACTCGAAAGTTTGTCTCTGAGGATTTTCTTTGGCCATTTGATGGCCCATTAACAGCGCCTAATGTGCGTAGGCATAATTCATAATTTTTCTTTTCATTTCGATCCAGATCGTTGGCATCCTGGCCGCCCTCGCCGGGGTCTATAAGCTGGACAAGTTCGACGAGGGGTCCAACGAGCACCTGGAGAAGTTCGTACAACTGGGCATGGCGGGGGCCCTGATCCTCGCCGCTCTCATCGGCTGCATGGGCGCCTTCCTCGGCTCCATCAAGGTGATGGTGGTGGTGAGTAGGCGATGGATTCTCGGAATAATGGAACGAATTTCAAGTTTTACAAGTTGTAGCACCTGGTTGTACTTCTGGTCTTGATATCCTCACACATCTGGAAGTTGTCCCACTACAACGAGACAAAGCAGCTAGACAATACCGAGGTCTATGTCATGGATCTGTGGATGAAGGAGCTGGTCCATCACGGGGGAATGCAACACCTACAGCAGGAGGTGAGTCTATAGCTTTATTTTTCCTTTGAGTAATTTATGTCCTTCACATTCCAGTACGAGTGCTGCGGTGACAAGGGCTTCGCCGATTACACCAGCCTCAACATGAAGGTGCCCCGCAGCTGCTTCCACACCAAGGATGGAATTCACGCCCTATATCCTTATGCGGAAGGATGCATGGTGGCAGTGAAGCGAGCCTACTTGCAGATGTACAGATACGAGAGATGGGTCCATTGTGGGCTCATTGGGTACGAGGTAAGGGAATGCAGTTGGGACCTTATGAACAACATATTTAATAGATATGATCAAGTGTTACAAAACATGAGAGATTTTTGTGACTTTCTAGAATTTTCAAACCGAACACTTCACTTTAGACCTCTTTTTAGATAATCTAAAAATTTAGATAACGTATACAAGCGTGTGTCTACTAAACATTTTTAGAAACTTTCGAAAAGTAATTTATATGATTTTTTTAAATATTCGTAATTGTGTTTCAAAACATTTGTCTCACATAACTCAATATTTTTAAAATTTAATACGTGATTTCTAAAAATATTTTTATGTTATATTGATAACGTAAGTTAGGGATGGCCGAAAATGTCAAGTATAATTATACATTTTAACATTGCGATATATTTTCCATAAATTCATCATATACTTAATAAATAAGTATGTTAAATGCGATATTCTTCGATTTTACGAAATCGATATATTTATATACATATCAAATCTTTCATTTCCTCTCAATAAAGATTACTTTGATGTGTTTGTTGCTTTTGCGTTTTATGTGCCGGTATCTGCTGCTGCTGTATATTTGCTCAATTTAACCTCTTAACCATCCTATATAGAGATTAAGAAAAAGTTATTCTGAATATATTCTTTTACTTTTATTGTCTTTGCAGGTTGTGGGCATCATCTTGGGTATTACCTTGTGCTGTCAGCTGACCAACAAGACTCGTCGCTACGCCTACTGATCACCACATGGACATTTACACAAGCATTTGCAAAACGGTTATACAATAAACTACATTTTTGATACAATCTACCCTCAGACTTCGTTGAGCAGCTGCGCCCGTGAGCCGGTAACATGGTTAGAGCGCGGCTCCCTCCGCACACCTGGCGGCACCTGTCGCCGGGCGAGACGCTGCCGCTGACGCAGCCTGAACAGTAGCACACTCAGGGCCACCGTTTGCAGCAGAATGAAGATCTGAAAAGATGTATATCTATAGATATTCGATAAATTGCTTCAAAACTATGTGAATACCCCACCTCAAGGCCAACTATGGACCACATGTAGAGCTTATCGCGCTGCTGTATGTAGCGTTGGCTGTTGCTCAGCGTTTCGAGGCAGCCGCGCGGATAGATCTGCTGGGCGGTGTCATTGGCAGTGGACGACTGATGATAACAGCTCGGTGGCACCAGCAGATGCAGGCGCCTGTAATCGTCAGGGCTATTGTAGCCACAGCAGTGCCGTGTAGCTTCGTACTGATGCATCTGCTCTGGTTGCTTGTCCAGACCATGCCAGGCGAGTTCAAGCTGCTCCCAGGCGCCGCCGGAGCTTCTGAGGGACGGATTGTGGTAGTGATGCAGCTGCAGATACTCCGCCGCCAGGGCCATTAATATAAACAGTGTGAACTGTGGGTAAAATGGATCCACAAGATAAGAGATGTATACATTTACAACGCTTGGAATTTCATGTACACACGAGCAGGTTAACACACAGCAGATTGCAGACCATGCCGTAGCATCCAAACATCACGATCATGCAGATAGTGCCACCCAAAACCAGGCTTTTCACGAAATACGTGTGCTCCGGGGTGTTGGGCTCCGCCACCTGTAGGCCCAGTCCTGCTCCAGACATCACTCCTATGCCCAGGAGCTGAAATCGAAAAGAATATTTGCGATATATCATATAGGAGGTATCGCATATACTTTGATGGGCTTACCATGTACAGCAGATTGGAGAGCAGCCCGGAGTACTTGATTGTGTTGTAGCAGCCGTTCATGGTGAGAATGCTGCAATCTCTGGGTGATGCGCTAAATTTAAGGCAATTGCATTCCGACCTTTACCAAAGGCCGACGGAGATAAGCCGTCGCGAATACGGAGTGCAGCGACATTTGTCTAATTTCGGTTGCTTTATTTATGAGATATATAAAATGTTATTTCCAAGGTATTAAGTACAGCTAAAAATTGCCTAAGACTTATCAGATATGACACATAGACATAGCATTCTATAGCGTCGCAATGCGGGCAGGAGAAAAGCTCCCGGACGCACTCGGGTTAAAGTGTTTTACAAACAATTCTTGTGGGTCTGTTTCGGTGTTCAGTGTTCGGTGTTAAGTGTTGTATTCCGATTCCGCTGACACGCCTTTTCATCCTCTTAGGTCAGGGTGGAATCAGGTCTTGCTAGTCTACAGGTGTCTAGTGTTCGTGTGCGTGGGGTCTGGATTATTTGTTTACAAAAACAAATCAACGAGTGAAGTTCGTTAAACAATTTCAATAAATATCACATTGCGTTAGAGAGTTGCTGGCAGGGTTGTTGGATATATTGTGTCCTGGCACTGGCATTGCACACTCTGCTCTACCAAAGGCATATAATGAATAATAATGAATAACGCCAGACGATTCTTTGCAAACATTCTAAATCTGTACGCACAGATAACATTATCTGCTTTTTGCTAGTGACAGATGCTTTCCAACTGTAGGGACGTTATGAATCTTATTATTATATGGTCTTTTGCATTACATGCGCCATGGCAGCGGTATGAGGCCCCATTTCTGGGTAATGTCCTTGAAGTCGCACTCCATGCTAAGCACCACCTTTTCGACCTTCTGAAGACGGGAATTCGTGGCGGCCTTCAGAGTGAGGCACAGCTGGGTTTCTCGATGAGAGATTTGCTGGGTCTGTCGAGATAATGTTTAGAGTGATCATCAGAGGTATTATTAGCTTGATCAGTTACTTACATCCATGTCATATGTCCACAATTGGCTAGAGTCGTTGGCGCACTGCGTCAGCATTACGTTCGATGTGGTGGCATTTCTGTTCTTCAGCATCTTGATCACACCCAGCTTGGGCTGGCGGTAGGTCAGGCACACGTTGTCGTTGGTCATTATCTGGCCCCTGGGTGTGATCACGAACATGTCCATGCTCTGGGCGTGAGAGGTGCAGTCTCCCACGGTCACCGGCGAGAGGGACGACCGTGGTACGTCCTCTTTAAGTGGACGGAGACACTTGTCTCTCTCCAGGTCTATCAGCGATAGCAATTCATCCGACTTGGTTTCAATCTCCTCGAAGGCACGCTTCCATTCCCGTGAGAGAGCACGGCCTGGAAGATTCTTCATATGCTTGCTGTAGGCCTGAGCGCATTCCGTTTCGCCGTCCAACCAAATGATCTTGCCAAAGAAGCGATCCGGTGCAGGGAAGAAATGCTCCGGCCATATGTTCTCCAGGTACCAGGAGAACGGCTTGCACTTCAACTTCTCTCTTAACGCTACTCGCTCCGTCACATTCACCTTGTCCTTTGCGCCCAGTGTCAGTCCCGAGGTATAGAGCATCACAAAGTACTGCCAGTCGTCCATCCACACGGTCGCTGCTCTTGCCAGATTGTCTGTAAGCACCTCGCTCATGCCGCCGGGAAAGGTGTACGGCGTACTGCTGCGGAATACGTGGCCCACGTGGGAGCAGGGGCTGATTTCAACGCGCCCGCCACACTGCCATATGCGGAAGGACATCTCTACGTTCTCACCGCCCCAGACGCGCATATTGGTGTCGTATGATCCCATTTCATAAAAGTATTTACGATCAATCGCGAACAGGCCACCAGCCATTCCTGGCGTTGCTATTGGAGCGGTGCTGTCCTTGGAGCTAGCTTTCGGCGTCTGCAGTTTTCGTTCCGAGGAGAACCACCGAAAGCTCAGCTGCCAGTTGAAGGCGCCCCAGTGGTTCTCAAAGGTCTTTGTATAGCTGAAGTTGTCGTCGGAGATGATGTCGATCACCGGGCAGATGACAACCTCACGCGATTCCTTGATGCGGGATAACAGTGGCTCCAGCCATCCCCGTGAGCACTCACAGTGGGCGTCCAGGAAGGTCAGCACGTCGCCGCGTGCATGCTCAGCGCCAAGAAGACGGGCCGGGACTAGTCCACTACGCTTCTTCATACGGTAGATCTTCGTGGGCACTGCAAGAACCTTCACATAGCTCTCCAGCTGGCGTTTTAGGTAACCTGTGGAAGTGCAAAATAAACTAATTAATATTCAAAAGTATCTTTAATACATTCAAGGGTCATGTAAATCAAGTATTGTGCGAAACTCTTGTAAATAAGATACTACTAAACCAGTTTTTAGGGTATCTGGCTCAGTCTTTTAAAATAGATAAGAAGATAAAGGCAAATTCCTACTCACTGCGGTCACTGGCATCATCTACCAGAATAATTTCCTTTAAGAGATGTCGCGGTGAGCGATTAATTACACTGGTGATTGTGCGTAATAGCACGGACCAAGCCTCATTATGGAAGACAATGATCACCGAAGTGCTGGGCAGCCCACTGGCATACTTCTTGTCGCGGCATCTGGAAGATACGAGATTTAAATGAGGAACTTATTGTGAATGATATCGGACTCACTCAGGGGTGCGGTAGTCCTTAAGTGTGCGGTTCAGCGGGATGCGGTCGCTGGCCAGCAGATTGAAACTATTCAGCCGGAAGAAGCGCTGCATGCGAAAGCGATCGCGAGGCGGAACCACAACAGGTCGCCCATCGGCGCCCTCTCCATTGATGGGCTGGAACAGGTTGATGTTGTAATCGTCTGCAAGCGAGTGGATATATTAATGCATTTTTCCATTGTGTCACATCATTTCATCAGTGATGGGAAACACTCATTTTGGTCTGATGCTTTATATGGTAAGTTTGGGTTAATATCGGAATTAAATTAAATGGAGCAAAAGGTATACTAACTATACTAGGGATATACAAATTGAGTATTTTACCAAGATAGATCAAGTTGCATAAATTAGATATATATTAAACGTATAATTCTATAGGTATTGGAAATTTCTCTAAAGGCCTAACTAATGATTCATTAAATTTCTCTGGAAGTCCCGGTATAACAAATAAATAATTTTGTTTAGGTTTTCTTTGGTAACGCAACTTTAATATGTATTATAGCAAAATGATCTCAAATGGATTAAAATGGCTAAGACCTAAGGGGAAAACATATGCACATTAGTAGATCGCTTTTTGTTCAAGTTGAGTTGATACCAAAATCTACATCTTCATTAAAACCTAAAATTTCTCTTGACTTAAGTTTTTCTAAAGACAACAATAGATTCTTTGAAGGTCAATTTAGCGCCAAATATAAACACTTTTCACCTGGATCTTGTGCTACCTCAAATTTCCGAGCCGAAGAGCAATACATATATATATCTGGATATAAAGTCAACCCATCAAGCCCTGCCATCACTGATCGCGCGACCAGCCCACTCACCTGCAGTCATGTTGCCGAAGATGTCTCCCTTGCCGATGTAGTGAGCCACGATGTTTTTGTGCGGCCAGAGGGAGCGGCGCTTGGGCGGGGGCTTGGGGTGACTGTGCAAGAAATCAGAAATCGGCGCGTCAGCCAAGGCAAGTGATCCACAAAAGAGGTGACAATGGTATTAAGTCTTTGCATTTGCAATGGCCCGCGGCTCGCAGGCCTCGAATCACGCGAAGCGATGGCAAAACAAACAAGAGGCCCACATCCAATGCGGAGTGGAGGCACTCGAGTGGAACTCTTGCAGATTGCAACACGCGCCCCGAAGGCACAGCCTTCGTTGGGCAACTGGCCGGGGGAGGAACGTCCTCGTCCCGTGGATGGACTACTCACCGCAGCTCCGAGTCGGCGCTCTGGATGCTGGTCACATAGAGGTTAATGCTGATGGCGAACATGAAGAAGGCGAAGAAGAGCAGGAAGAGGTAGAGTAGCCACAGCTTCTTGAGCTGCTGGAATCGAAGACCCATGGCGGGGGCCTCTTCGCACCTTGGTTAACTTGGCAAACGGGCTAACTGGCTAACGGCCTAACTGGCTTACTGGCTATTGCGGGGCGATGTGAATGACCGATGCGATCGCCAGCTCTGTTTACTGCCAACTAATCAAGCCGTTGTTGTTGTCCAGCCAGCAGTCCAACAACTCCGCGGAACGGCTAAGAAATGCGGCGCTGCCGCCTGGGGGCCGCTTTAAAATACGCGCCGCGTACGCGTTCCAATTCGCAGGTGGGGCCGGCAGTGCAGATCCAGGTGTTTATGAATACATTCCGCTTGTTCGCCGGTAATTCGTTTACTCAGCAATTGTGCAAATACTCCCCAAACAGTTCATTCTTTTGCTTTCACCAGCATTTCAAGCGCAGTCAACTTTTTTTTGTTTTTAATGAATCCCGATGTATCGATACGAATGTAAATATCGATTATTATTATGCTAGCACTCATAGTGATGCGCAATCAGATGTTGCAGAATTTTAAGAAACCTGTTAAAATATATAGATTCAACATTTTTTTTAGGAAAAGTTGTCTCGAAATTGGGCAAAAATGTTTAAGTTTTCTGGACCAGCGTTTGACTATTAGGCAAAAAAAGGCGGATATTTCCTAATTTCCTACGTTTATACATATGTAAATATTAAAACTGCTCATATATGTAATAGTTAATAAATTATGACATCAATTAACTGATTTCAAAATAAAGAAATAGTTTTAGTACCAAAGTTCACATATTTTCCCATAACTAGTTCATTTGAACCAGTTGCCTGTCCACCATTTCGATAGCCGTTTAGTAGTCGATGTCTGTTCAAATCGATATATTGTGTGGTGAATTAATCAAGTTCAAACCATCCGCCAACTGTAGTTTGCGCACAAAGGTTTATCATTGGCAAAAGTCGCATGTACTAACATTACTCATTAATGAAGTAAAACTTTTTTTTTTTTAATTTCACTGAAATTGGATATTTGAGTCTTAAACTAAGTTTTTATAGGATCGATTGGGTCAAATTGTGTAACTTAAAAGGCAAACAGATAGGGTATGCAAACCGTTTTTTGTTAAGAATTATATTTATGTGTAAAAAAAATTAATATATTTGAATAATATAGTATGAATCATAACGTAGTTCCTTAGTCCCTGTTCTATGAACATTGTTTTACTAGGATTTGCCAAGTGAATTTAAAAATTAAAATTCTTATATAGTTACATCAGTATTCAAGAAAAACTACATATAAACAGTTATACATATCAAGCTGGAATGGAATAGAATCAAGAGTTCAATTGATTTATTTAATTTTATTACCTAGTTCTGTTATTTACAAAGTTGGAAACATCTTTAATCAAAATATTCGTCCAGCCTCTAATACTGTTAACACACAAAGTCAGCACAAATCAACTCTAGCGATAAAAACGTCTCCGCTCCGCATTCTGTAAGGTTATAGCCAGAAGACCGGCCACAGTAACGGTGAGCATCTATTGAATAAATTAAATCTTAAAGTTGATTTTTTCTTAAGTATATTAAGTACATTTACCTCCACTCCCACAACAGACCAGTCGCTGATCCGCTCCCACCGAGTGCCCTTGACAAAGGCCGCCCCCAGTTTCTGATTGCATCCTGCGGTGTAGAGATCCGTAGTCACCGTCGCATTCTGGTTAAAGTAGCAGCTCTGGGGAATGCGCAGCCCACTATCCGGATAGTTCGCGGGCCCCGTCTGTCCGCAGCAGTGATACTAAAAGATAAATAGGTTAATATTTAAGCAAATAGAGATAAAAAGTTGTCGCCTTGATTCCGATAAAATTTTAACAAAATGCTAATTAATACAAGTTTACCCTTCTTAGGAAATTATGAACTTGCATAGCAAAAAAATTTCTTAGAAACCCTTCTAAAGACTATACAAATAAAACTGTAATCTACAAAATTGAAATAAATACCTTTACTCTGTGCATTATATATTTGTTATATTGTTTTTCTTTGTAAATATATATTTATGACCTTTTATAAAAGATTAAAAAATAAATCGAATCTGATAAGGAATATAAGCTATTTTATGAACTTGAACTTGAATGTACAGAACTTATCAATGCTCTTATTTTGTTGTTTGGTCTTTTTTAAATATCGTTAAATAGATCTTTTTCTCCTCAATTGTAATGTATTACCTGGCTGCATTGGTTAAATAAATAATTGCATACAGTTTCCTGTTACTTGCATACAAAAATCTATATAGTTTCTTATATTTCCTGTTAAAATGAACTTAAATTAAATTCATAAATAAACTGTATACTACAAAATTCTGTTAGGACCAATTCATATTACCTACTCAAGAGTCTAGTGTCTGAAACTCACCTTGATCTCATAGTAGGACATACTGTTCTGATGGTACAACTGACCCTGCCAGGCATCATAGATCGTTTCGTTGGCCAGCAGCTCAAAGTTGATGGGTCCGGCGAAGATCACGGTGATCTGTCCGAAGATTAGGGCCAGCATGATCGCGGCATACTTTCGGGCGGGGCGAAAAGTTCAAGTGGATTCAAGTGATTTAGAGTAAACTCAACAGTGCCGGAACAAGTACTCACAATCCAGGTCATGCGGATGCTCTCCCTCAGAGTGGCAACGCAGCCGAAGATGGTGCTGCCGAAGAGCAGGACGCCCAGGACAATGCCCAATATGCAGGGCACTCTGATGGCCAGGCTGTGGCTGAAGGCGATCAGGGCGTAAGAGCAGGCGGAGATGGTCAGTGCCGCCAGAACCTGGCAAGTGTATTAGTTTCGCGATGAGTGGGGCTATCAGCTGGGGATTTGGAGAGTGGCGATAAGAAATACTCACACAGCACAGAAAGTCCAACACGAAGGAGGACACCTTCAGCGTCTTTGTGCCGCAGCTCATTTTGCAATTTTATTAATTTTTTCGGTTTCAAGCACGCTCGCGGCAGAAAATCAACTGATAGACGGCACCCAAACCCAAATATCGAAAGCCAAACGGCGAGCGACGTAGTCCAAAGGGGTTTAAACTTATCGGAGAGCGCCAGGCCATCTCCCTGATAAGGGTCTTCCCAAACAGCTGAGGAGAGACTTATCAGTTCGCTTAATTATTGTATTTGATAAGCACTCGAGCATAGAAATTCGCTCGATATTTGTTTGCCTCAACCAAAACTGTGAGTAAAATGCGAATGTGCTTTATTTTGGGGAGGACCAGTCATAGTTACGGAGATATTTTATATTAAAATTTGATATAACAGAATCAGATAAGTTGAAACAATTATAAAATTGACAACATTTATTGAAGATATAGTATAGTATAAAAAATAAGATAAGATTTATATTGAACACAGCAAAACCTTCAATTAAATGGTGTAATTATATGGAAATTATAATTAATAATTATAAGTCTTTAAAACTTTTTTTAATTATATATTTCTATATCTTCTACCTGTTTTTAACAAGATATTAAGTGTAATATTTTAGACTATGACATTTCTAATTGGAATATGCTTCTTAAATATTGTACTTATTCATTTCGACATCTTTAAATCTTTAATTTTAAGTGTAATCAAATATAACATTCAATTCTGAGACTATCAAGTGCCACCCTAAAGAGCAACGCGATAATAAAGGTAAATAGATAGATGATAGAAGTTGTAGGTTGGGAACTTGTTACCCTATCAAAAATATGGCCACTACGTTGGATAATTCACGGTCATTGAGCTTTTAATAAAATGAGATCAAAGCTGGAGATCGGGCGGAATGGCAATGAATTAGTTCGATCCGGGAAGCTATCCAGAAATGTAGCTGGGTTCAAAAATAAGTAAATAATGTATTACTTCGTTATCGCTGCGGTTACATGCGCGGATATTCCTGCCTCGTCACCGGTATCTCGGTTGTGTTTTATTTTAACACTCTATTGCAAAGACCAGACCCAGACGCGGCGCAAGAGCCACTCGAGTTTGTTTAGCTATTTAGTATAGAAGTAACCTCCGGGGAGCGTGTTTCGGAGCTACGAAAATTAATATCACATACGTCATGGGTTGTTCTACGATAACGGTTAAGTTTCTAGTACTCCTTTTCAACTTCCTGTGCGCGGTGAGTAGCGATAAAGGGTTTACTTCAAGTGATTTATTGGATACAGTCATAAACTATTTTTGCTTTGGCGATATATTACGCATTTTATTTGTTGCTACCGAAAACCCACTTAAGCGACAATCTATGAAATCGTTTAACAAAATAAAAGAAAATGGGAGGAATAATAATAACGAAAATATGTGAACAATAAAATGAATATTAATAAAGAAATAAGAAAGTGTGTGTGAACCGTTTTTGTGATTAAAATATTACTTTGTGCATGTGAAACATAATTAGTAGCTAAATTTAACAAATTACAATATATAGAATAAAGCTATGTATTCTTGGCTTAAAAATACTCGTTTATATTTCATCTTATCTAAAATGAAGTCAAGAATGATAAGAGAAATATGTGAATATGCTTTCTTGCATTTGCCAGATGGCGTTTTCTGGAAACTCCCTTGGTTTTCGTTGATTATTTAGCCTTATCTAAGCACATTGCGTTATTTCAAATGATTAATAAGTATGTACGTGTAGCTTAAAATATTCGTTGAGGCGATAGCTAGGCATAGCCAGGTGTTTACTTTTTATTTATTTATGGTTTTTATTCCGGTGGAAATCACTTGCAGGTACTGGGCCTCGCAACAATAGTGATCAATGCATTGGCCATCAAGGATATGGCGCCTGATGGGCGACCCATTCTGTGGGTATTCATAGCACTGGGTTCGATAGTCTTCCTGACCTCATTTCTAGGCTGCTTTGGTGCCATCAAGGAGAGCATCTGCCTGACCTGGACGGTGAGTAATCAATGGTTTTTGGACTCGAGATTCTTATTAAGCTGATTTATCCAATAGTATGCCATTACTATGCTTGCTCTCCTGATCATCTCGGTCGTTGTCCTATTTGTTTTCCGGATGCATATCGAAGGCGCTGTCACTGCCGAGGATGAGCTTAATCTTGCTTGGCAGAAGCAAAAGAATGGCACCGATGCCATGTCTGAATACCAGAACCAAGTGAGTTTTAGATTGATAAAAACTATAATTAAGTAGATTTCAAGCGTTAATTAGAATTCTATGATTCTCATTTATTCATCTATTCTGGAATTAACATGCTACATATAAGGTTCTATCTTTATATTTGTTATTAAACAATATCAGAATGAAATCGGATTTTAAGAAGCTGTCCTAAAAGTTGGCATTAATTTTCCAATGTGTGGTTCAATGTTATGATATTATATAGCGTAATCCATACAATCTTTAAATTTGAATAATTACAGCTTGCTTTGTTTTAAGTCTAGTTAAATGCTCAAATACTATAACCTCTTAATTCCAGTTCCATTGCTGTGGTATCAACGGGGTCAAGGACTATACCATCGCAAATCTGACAGTTCCCGAGAGTTGCTTCGATCATGATACGGCCTACACCGTGGGATGCCTGAAGGAAATGGAGAGCTTCTTCGATGGACTCTGGCAGGGTCCAAAGATTGTTGTCTGGATACTGATGGTTATTGAGGTGGGTTTTCTAATCAATATTTGTAAAGTTCCAATGATATGTATGGCTGACCCTTTGCAGATCGCTTCTTTCACATTCTCAACGATACTGGGTGTGACTTTAAGGAACGAGCAACGTCGCTACGGGTACTGAGATATATGAATCAGTAAAACTAAGCTAGAAGTAACGATCTGACTGCATAGTATATTTATATTATTTAACGTTTATCTTGCACTTTTTGTACCTTGCCAAATAAAATTGTTATAGTTGAAGTAAAGATGAGGTCACTTTATTATTGTTTCTGCTTAGATAAGGAAATAGCTTATCTCCGATTTCTTTGCTGTAAGTTGCACCTGTTTGTGCGGTCAGTCTTTTTGAGGAAAGCAGCCGAAATGGAGTGCATTCGGTTGAATTCGCTTTTAGCCGTCGAGCATGGACTCCTGATGGTGAGTTTCCTAGTGTTATTCGATTTTACAACTTATTCGTTACAGACTTATAATTGGAGTCCCAAAACCATAGCTTTTGACTGTAGACATCCTGCTAGTTGGGATCCCCAGCTATATTGATGTGGGTGGAGCTGTGCAAATCAGTTACTACTTCCTTGCACCTGTGCTTGCTATACTCTTCATGCTGCACATCGGCATTGTAGTCATCGATTCAAGGAAACAACGAATAAGGGAACCAAAGCTGAAGCTGCCACAGATCCTGCTACTGCTGGTGGTCTTTGGTCTACCTTTGATTTTCACCTGCAAAGTTATTCATGACCACAAAACGAACTGGAAGCTTTTGTCTGAGGCTTGGACCGAGCTCGATGAACTCAATCAGACAGAGTCGTTGTCCTCCTGGCAAGAAAAGGTAATATGCTCAATATCTTTGAGAATTTATTGCGGATATTAATTAACACTTTAGGGAAATTGCTGTGGAGTCATGGGTCCGTATGACTACCTTAGCAAGGGCTTGGATCTGCCTAAGAACTGCTTTTATTATATTGAAAGTCAACAAAAGGTGAAGGATGGATGCTATAAGGTTTTTAGGGACGCTGCTTTCAATATTCACTTTTTAATTGTGGTGATTTTTGCACTGTATTTGGTAAGTTGAATTTTTATTGAATTCTCCAGAAAACTATCTACATTTATATTAAAGACGGTGAAAATTACACGAAATTTTCTGGAGTGGAAAACAAATACGAACGAGACTAATGGAAAACGCAGATCTTCAGAAATGCCCATACTGAAATAAGTCATATGGTGTAATATTCCTTTTTTTATAATCATCAAATAAATGACTAATTGAAAAAAATTTCATAGCACAGTCATTTGTCAATAACTTTCACATTCGTCACACATTTAAGTAAGTATGTACTTTATTGATATTGGAGGGTATCAAAAGGTTTGTATCTTATCAAATTAATCCGTGCCAATCAATACTAACCTAGTAGTTCCAGTTCGCTTATTTATTTAAATTTCCGCTTTTTTGATAACTTTACTTACCAATACTACTATATTTTAGACGTAATACGAACAATGGATAGTAATGCTTCCTAAATTCTAATATATTCGCATTCATTTGCATGTAAATAATCTGTAAATATATTTTTGGAATCTCTCTAAAAATTTCAAATACCACTGAAAAGCGAATGGCGAGAGTTAACATATAATATTGACTGACTCTTATTTCTTATTACTAAATGCCAATTGGCGGAAATATCTGGTATACTATGTCCTATTTATTAGAAAGTGATTACTAACATGATCTGTTTCCTTTGTTCTAGTACAGAAAAATAAATTCATTATAAAATCAACTATACTTTCATATATAGAATACTGAAAATGATATTTGCTGTCTATATGCTATAGCCTGTTAGGGATGTATGTTATGAATGCACTAAACTTAAATATTTTCATTCAAAAAACCATATTTTTAAGGTTTAAATTAAGGTTTCGTGTTTTTCAATAGGTAGATGGGTTTTAAATGATTAGACTTTCGTACAGCTGTAAATGCGACTTCTTTTACTCAATTTGCTTTTCGCTTAGGATGGAAAATAGTATTATTATTATTAGTATTAGTGGCCCTCTAGGTTTTGCTGTTAATGAACAGCCAGATAGAGTAAGCTATCTTTAAGATGTAGTTAAGTAAATCATATTCTGTGCCTGTAAATTTATAGTATGTGTTCCTTTAAGATTTATAAAAGAAGATTTTAAAAATTTATAAATAAAGTTCTAGTATTATTAATATTTGGTTAAATAGACGGCATTAGAAATCTAGAGAACTTTTCGATTATGTATTTGAGAACCGTATCGCCATGGAATGTTTTACGGAGGGCTGCACCAAAATATTGTTTATGAACTCAATTTATTGGTCAGCTAATTTGATATATATGGTTTCTTGGACACGCGATCCGCTTGGCACTCCTATTTCCGCTCATCCCATTTCCATTTGGAAGCTATTTAGTTTGCATGGGGCCCGTCGACAGTTGGCAACCTGCAATTTTAATTGCCAAACTGTCTGCCGGAGTCAGGCGACGTGTGTGTCTGTGCGGGTGAGAGTGTCTTTGTCGGATTGCAAATTACTCAAAATAAACACAATTTAGAATACATTGGCACACATTTGCTCTGTCCGCCCCGCGCCCCAAAATTGCCGTTGAGTTGTCCTTAGACATGCTAACTCAAATCAAAGTCGCAACGAGCGCACAGTGGGAGTGAGGACAACTATGTCCCTTAAAAATATATTTTTTTATATTATGAAATATTTTGTATTATTAGTTAGATCGGTGTCACAGTTTTCGAAAGATTTAAGATTTAAGCCCTTACTGCCAATGGTTCGCGATCAAATAAGCTTGAGGCCAATACGTACAGCATCCCAGACTTTTTATCAAATCTTTTCAGTTCTGTTATGTATTATGTTATGTTTTATTATAAGGAAAATGGAAAATATTTCCTCTTCGATAACTTTATCTGGTATTTATGATTTCCGGTCTCTTAGCTATTGCAGACTTTGAAAGTTTGTGTAGAAACCGATCCTTCTCATCCTTTTCCAATATTTCTCAAACATTTCCAGCATTCTATCTGTTATATTCCTTTTATTTTCTGAACAATATGTTCATGGATAAAACAGTAGGATACAAATTTTTAACAATTGCAGAACTAAGAGCTGTAAAATACATTGTTTGATGCGTTAAACTCTTCGATACCTCAGATTTTCAATATATGTATGTATTTTACCCTTAAATTGCGAAAAGTAAGTCTATTTTTCGAAATTATCGTGCGTTTAAAATGTTATATTGATATACATTCAACAGACGATTCTCAGAGATTACTTAACAATTTTCCAAATTACAAAAAAAGAACAGATTTTGAAGGACAAGAACATTACTTAAATATACCGTAATGATGTAAGGAAGTTCAAATTTAATCGGAACTTTTTACTCTCTTTGGAAAAGCGTAATCTGGTTCTTAGTTCTACAGTTTTCGACCTGTGCAATTTACCAGTATTCGTCTAAGAATCCTAAAGGTCTCGTGAATAATTTTTGCATGCTTAATTAAATTTACTAAATTCAATAAAAATCTGTCTTTTAGCCTATTAAAAACTAGAACTTGATATTTTTCAACAAACTTTGTTAGTCAAAAAATAATAGAATCAAAGAGTGTTTTAAAGAAAGTTTCAGTTTTTACCCCACGGTGGTGCCCAGCTAACGAGTGACATGAGGAGCATGTGCTGCCCCGGGTCGTGAGCCAATCACCATCAAAACGTACACCTTGTTGGCGCACTCAGCTCAACCCTTTCACCTTTCACCTCCCACCTGGGGCCTCCTGGCTCCCCGTGGCTTTTGCGCTTTTATGCTTGGGAGCTCCCGGAGCCAGAGACTTTAGCCAGTTTCATTTGTGAGTTTCGTTCGTGCAGTTTCGCCGAAATATCCGCCGTCGCCGGCTGAGCCAAGAGTGAAGCATAAGTTCAGGCGCCGCTGCCATGAGTCGCATGCAAGCGTAAGTCCTATGCAAATGTTCGCGGGTCGCGTGCACCCAGGTGCTAATGAGTTGGAACCCACTACGCGTGGCGCCTCCGCCATCCGCCATCCGCCACATAATTGCGGAGGGGCGGCGGAACAAATTGCTTAATTTGTTTAGCTGCTGTTTAATTTTCACCAACCAAATGAACGTGTGTGTATGTGAATCTCTATTGCGAGTTCCACGTCCAATTGGCATGCGTGAATGGGAGTTTTGTGTTTTTTTTGTTTGGCAATTAGTTTTACCCGGTAACAGGTTCGGGAGTCGCGATGGGTTCTTGTATCGGTTATTAGAATCCCAATGGATGCGTGCAGGGAAATCAATGGATAATCCGAAAGTGATTTATAGCAACGATTGTGATTGGTGACGGAATTCAAGAGTAGTCATAGAAGTTGGTCTTGATGAAATGCGTAATGAAGTGGAATGAAGAACCTAAGTTGCTACATTTTGTAGCATACATTTTGAATCCATTTTTTATTTGCAGTAAAAGTATATATATAAATAAATGTTAAATATTGTGTTTTACTGGAACTTTTGTTTGCTTTAATAGTTTAACTGATAATCCCAGTAGGATATACTAGAATTTTTAAACAAAAATTTAAGGAATAAATGCAGATAAAGAAAAGTTGTGCATCCAAATGTGGGTTATCGGACTTACGTCTGACAATATGTTTCTATTGAGTGGCTAATTTATTTTAAAAAGCATCTGTCGTCGACTCATTGACACTTCATATACTTATACATTTTTTAATTTTTTTTTATTTTTAAATTAAATTATATTCTTTCTCTCCGGAATAGTTCAGAGCCATTAGAACTTTACCAGAGGTTTAGGTTTAACTGAGACTTGTGTACGGAATTTAAAAAAAGGAACGAGATTCTGAAATTGACAATATTCCCAAAATCCAAAAGTCACATTACCTTTTTTTATCATTACTAAATGCGGATTGAGCTTACTAAATGACTTAAGAAACTAAAAATTTTGCAGAAAAATTATGATATTAATAAAAGTTAGCATAATTAACATAACCTTACTTTAAAATTCCGATTACCAAAAAGCTTACATGAAAATAAAACACGTTTAATTACTTTTTATTTTAAATTATTAAAAGATTGGTTACAAATTTGAATGCTTTAATTTTAAGATAATAATGCTGACTAGACTAAAACAACAAATATAAAAAAAATAAACAATTGCTTTTCAAGAATTTATTTAGAAATTAATAATTAATTTTAAAGGATTTCTTAGACTAAATAGATAAACTATTACATACCAATATATTCTCTTGTTTAAAATTGTATAAAATCAATAACAAACTTGACTACTATTTTTTAAAAATTAAATATTGGCTAGTGAAGACAAAAGAGAAAAAAATCGGGTTTTGTCTTTTTAAAGACAATAAATAACATTCGTTTCGTGCATTATATTTTTAGCTTGAAACACAGTTTGATATTCCCAATATTCTTTCACGCCTCTCTGTCTCTCTCTTCGTGCAATCTTATTCGAGTGCCCTGTGCTGTTCGTGCTCGGCTTCGTCCTGAAAGCCGACTACCATGCCCTACCCCAAGTACTTTGCCTTCGAATGCTCGATCCTCTTCTGTTTCCCGGCCACTTGTCCCGGCCATTTGGGAACAATGGCAAGTCGTCAACTCAGCGCTTCGTGCACGTGACTTGACAGTTATTTCAATTTAATAACTTCATATATATATGTATATGGGGCTGCGGATAGTGTGTATCCAGATGCATGCCGATAGATTAAAGTTGGCGGGCCAACGCGAAGTTGGCATACACTGCCGTCGGGCCAAACTTTCGCGATAAAAGGTAATCAAAGTGCTTGAAAGTTCGCGCCCAGAACCGAAGACACTCACCTGGCCGCGAAGACTGTGCCCGGGTGTCGAAGAGCCGCCGACTAACCGGGGAGTCATCAACTTCTGAGGGGAATCGCGTGCCGCCGTGGCCCGAAGTAATTTCCTCCAGCCCACGCGTCCATATGGCAACACTTTGCCTTTGACGGGGTCGCATCCCACCGCCTCATCGCAGCACACATCCCTCCGAGTGGCTGGTGGCGATGACACCCACGTCTCCGCCGCCATCACCGGCTGGTTGCAATTGGAGCGCCCCGGCAGTGGATTTATGATAAGCGGCACGCAAGCCGGAAGGCCAAAGCCGAAGCTCTTCGCCGGCAATGACAGCGTGAGCTCTTCACGGGTCTCCCGGCAAGAGCACCTACCGGGCCACGGCATTTTCCATCGATATCTGCCATCTCTAGACGCCCCATCCAGGTGGGGGCCTAAACCAAACAGAGCTTCATTGAACTTTTGACGACGTGTGGACTCCGATGACTGAATGCGGGCCATGTGGCGGCATGGAGCCATTGTTAAGGGACAGGCCTCGTGTCGGCATGTCGGCATGTCGCTCCCGCTTCACGTTCGAGGTTCGACGTTCGACGTTCCTGTCAGTGTGCAGATAGCATTGCTCGGTGTTTGTTTTCCCGCTGCCGGCTGCCAGACGCAGCTCCGAGAATTGGCAGCAGCCCATCGGGCACAGGAGCACCATGACCACCTGGAACACCATGAAAACGCGGTAGGAATTAAAGCCCAGCAAGGGATTACCTTCTCTTATGGGGAGAGTTGTAGCTCGATATTGGAATTATGAATTGAATGGGTATATCACAAATATAATCGAAGTAATCTAGTTCAAATCATAAGGCACCCTCTATTATGATAGAAAGTTAGTTAATTATATATAAATAAAGAGGTTGCTCCACGACTTGAATCATATGCCTCCAGTTCCAGGATCTAGACTTCGACCTGCACCTATATTTCCTTAACAATCGTTACTTCAATTCTAGCGATAAAATTTCTCTCTTTTTCTTTTTTTAAGGATAACCGCCTCGGTGCGCACCACCAACCGGATGAATGCCCTGCTCTCGGAGTCAATGCTGAGCAGGCGTCGGGCAGCCCAGAATCCAGAGGGTGATGCGGCTTCCGGCGAGGGCGGGGAGCTGCAGAAGGAGAAGCCAAAGAATGACTGGCAGTTCTTCCATACGAACTTCAACATGGAAAGGGCTCTGAAGATCATCGAGGACTGCATCGAGGAGCGGCTGCTGTGGGATCGCTTCAGCCGTAACTACGACTCCTGGAGGGCACTGCAGTTGGTCGAGGGACTGGCGGCCGAGATTCGGGACAGGGTCAAAAAGCTGAACCACAGGCGGTAAGTCTTCAACTGGGCCAAAGTAATATAACCTGTGAGTGTGTCCTTAGCCATCGCATCGTCTGCCTGTTGTCCATTGTGGAGAAGCAGAACCAGGGCATCTACCAGCGGATGTGTCACCTCATGGACGAGAAGCGGGACAACTTCACCCAGCTGGTCTTTGAGCGGCCCACCTACTTTATGATCGTGGTGCTCTATCTGGTATACAAGGATTAGGCGTCCTGCCTCGCTCGAGGTGTTTGTTAATTACTGTTGTTAGGCTAAGTTAGGTGTTGAACCGGAAACGGCATTAGGTTATGGTAAAATAAACATACAAATAAAAAACTGAACATTTCTTAATGTCCTTAACTGTAGGCCCCGGCGAGATTCGAACTCACGATCTCCTGTTTACTAGACAGGCGCTTTAACCAACTAAGCCACGGCGCCGCTGTGGTATCGGTCGTTAAATTACCCAATTCGACCGAAAATTTTCCCTGTTCTATGTTTCTATCGGTTTAGAAGTCAATTTGGAAAATTAATATTGATTCAGTTGTTTTGACTTGAAGATAAGCAATAAAAGATACGATTTGGTTCTTGGCACAAGTGTTGAGATACAAGAAAGCACCTATCTATGGGATAGAAAAAGCTTTTCCTCACACAAATTCTAACGCACATGTACAGCCGTAGGGATGAAGCTTTCAGGTTGTGAATATGAACGGTACTAAAAGCTCTAGCTGAACTGTTATACTACCGTTATCACTGTGCTAAAAGCTTGAAGAAAAATCCATTGTATTGAAATATCTTTGTTCGATTATTTTTTTATTCCAATAATATAATTTATTTAACTACCTTTTACTGTTTAAATGTTCATTATTATTCATTCAAAAAATAATAGAGAATTTTAACTTAACTAAAAGAAACAGGATATTTAATACTATTTTTTAACAATCCATTAACCTTTATTTGTCTATACTTTATTGTATTTAATTTAAATACATTCCATAAAGATTTATTCCTTATATGCCAAAGCATTTCCTCCCCTCTTGATGCTTCCCAGAAAATCTACCCCTTCGCAGAAGCTTTTCCTTCCGATTTCTCAGTCGTTGTAATAATAATTTCCAAATTGTAATGATTATTGAAACAATTATTGGCGCAATTGAAACGCTAATGGTTTACAGAGCGTCAGCTGGCAAGTGGAACCATAAACACCCATCAGGAGTACCGAGAATAGCAGTAGCACGGGCAACAGAGGGTTGAAATGTTTGCACATTGCGGTTAAAATAAACGAGAAATACGGATGGAATATAGAAAAAATATTAACAACACCCCGCACCATCACCAGTGAGGGGTTAGGCCCCGGCGAGATTCGAACTCACGATCTCCTGTTTACTAGACAGGCGCTTTAACCAACTAAGCCACGGCGCCCACAAAAGCTTCCGCGACATAATGCCGCTCTTGTGGTACCGCTTCTTGGGAGCGGAGTCTGCGGCAAGTTCATAAATAGTTCTCAAACGATAGTGTGTGTGTGTGCAAGAGAGAGCCAGCGATAGTTAGATACTTATGTCGGCACAGTGATGGGAAGCAGAATAGGTTCGGGTTGACTATGGAATTATATATATTATAAAGTATTTTTATTAAATAAATAAAGTACTTTTTACTAAAATGTGGTTGCTTAAAAAATATTTATTACTCTTAGCACAAGACTGAATACAAATTATTACAATTTTCTTAAATTTAAATATTTAAAGCTAGAGTATATCCCAGTTTAGATATTTTAATAACAACGATACTAAATCTAAAGTGACCCGTGACCGAAGTACTCAAATAAATATAATAAAATAAGAGTAATATACGTACGCTAAATGAAAATCATAATATCTTTTATAGATATACAAGGTGATTAGTTTGATTAATAGGATTGATTTTAATGGAAGCTAAAATCGTTTTTGTATTATTCAAATAATTCCTTGATTTTTATAGAAATCAACTATAATTAATTCTTTGTGGTATTATAATTTCCAGCCTGTAACTGTTTATATATACCAAGCTAAGAACAAAAGTGAGATAAATAATTGCTATATTACAATATATACAATAACATATCAAAGACAAGCTCTAAAATAATAATTCTTATTATTTCTACCTCCACTGTAGATGCTCATGCTTTGGATACCCATAAATATGTATGGAAATTGGGAAAAAGTTCTATTATCATTATATATCCGATTAATTTATTCTAAAACTCAATATATAAAAATTTAATTTTGAATGTATTAGATTTCCTAGTTTAAATCTCTCTATAAAAAGAAACCTAAAACGAAATTAACAATAGAAAAAATGTATCTTAGTATTTTTACCTCCACCGCAGATACTTATGCTTCGGATACCCATATGTATTCATGGTGAAAAAGTTTTATTGTGGCGCAGAACTAGTTGTGTAATCTATGCCATATTTATCTACAACTTGTGCCGTATCGTTTGCCGAGACGACAAAAGTATTTATAAGTAGACGTATCTGCTGGCTATTTAAATACTTTGCTGCTGCGCCTTCTAGGCATGTTTGTCTTTCTGCGGCTCGGCTGTAGGAAAAATGAAGAAAAATGCAAATGTTGCCGCTTTGGCCAAATGGAAATTATTTGTACTTTTCGCACACACACACACACACACTCACAGACATAACACACACAGATCCAGGAGAGCAGAGCAAACTTGGGCACTCGAAATGTATCTTTGAAATCGCCGGGGAACAGCCCAAAGGCAGAGCTAGCGAGCTGCTCCTTCTTTGGCATCGGGCATCGGCTTATTAGCAAGTCTTTTCTGCTTGTCAAAGAGTTCAGTGGAGCAGCAAGAGCACGAAGCAAACCAAACCAAACCAAGCCAAAACGAAGCGAACCTCTGGCGATTGTTAAGTATCTGAGCCGCGTTCCGTTAGAGCCGAATGTCAATCCTGACCGGGAGAGATGGCCCCAGGTCACGGGCCTGGGAAATTGGGGAAAATTGTGGCTGAAGCCGAATGCATTTTGCTATCTTGCGTGTCGATAAATCAGCCTTGCTATTTAAAGAACCTTCCTAAACCCATTAGCACCGAATGCCCATATAGTTATTCAGAATAGACCTCATCCCAGTCTCATGTCCCATTGTCCGTTGACCCACCGAAAAGCAACAGTTTAACTGGCCACGCATAGGGAGGGAGGCGGCGACTTCCGAGCGTTTACCAAACTAATTGCCCGAACTTTGTTGCTCATCAAATTGCCGCATCATTTTACGCAGATTTTTATCGCACCAGACCCGGCCTCCATCGGGGACACTCTCAGCCTCTGGCCGGAGGGGGAATCCCACTCACTACAACTGCGGGTCGGGCCAAGTATCTAATGCGTTTCCTGTGTTTCAGCCATGTAACAACAGCCATCGGGCCCGGTGTCGGTGTCTGTATTTGTGTATCTACATGTTTCCATCTCTGTTGGCCTACTCTGCTCCATTGGTAATATTAGCTAATGGACTGTATTTGATCAAGTTGTTTCTTACTTAACAATTATAATAATGCATTTCTTTTTGAGTTAAGTATTAAAACTATTAAACGGAAATGTTTTAAAAACATTCTTCTGATAAGCATCTAATTATCTTGGGATATTCTACATTACATTTGGTACATTATTGTAATTTCATAATTTACTAAAAGAAATGTATTGTATTCATTTATAAAAACCATACTTTACTTTTCGAAATCAAAATTAATTCTTACCTTTTAATTCGATAACTGAGTGTTTAGTTGCAACAGCCTGGAAACAGTATATAATTACCAAAGGGGAAGTGGAGTCCGTAAAGAATTATTTTAAAAATATGAACCAATAAGTAAACTATATACTTTGTGCAAATGAGATCCGAATTGGTGTAAAAGAAAGCATTTCCTTTTAATTTCGTAAACAATATTTAAATGAAGCTCTTGCCTTTATAAGGGGCATATTCTTCCAATTTAAATTCCGAATCTGTATTAGAAAAACATTGATATATTGCTAAAGGTAATAGAAATTGCTTCGCTACACTGAAAGGGTACAAATAATTCGATGCTTTTGCGAGAACTATACCCTGCCTCTCTTCCCGATTAAAACATTGTAATTTGGCATTGGCATTGGGAAGCCAACGCTTATCAGCACATGACTCCAATAAATTCGCTTTCGCCTTTCCCACACCCTGCCACTCCTGTGCTATCTGGCATCTCATTCAACCCGGGACCCATGTCGATCCTGGGCTCCCAATCCCCATCGCAGTCCTCCCCCCGCCCCAACAAATGCGCAGCTATTGAGTTTTTACGCATTTGGAAAACCTCCGAAAAGGATATGGGCAAGGAGCGGGAATAGGAATCGCGTGGAGCTGGAGCAGGATAAGGATTTCAGCCTGGGCTGCTGGCATTTTGCTCAGGGCTGTCGGCTTAGCTCTCTCTCTATTCTCGTACAGTGTGTGTGGTGCGGATTTCCTCGCTTTTCTGCCAGGATGGGGAAAGACAAATCTGCTTTTGTTTTTATCTGATGCCGTTTCGTATTTAGCCATCTTATCCTGGTGGGAATGCGAGCACATTCGGCTGGCGTCGAAAGTCGGATTAGGCCACCGGAAAGTCGTGATAGCCTGGCTTTAACGATGGCCGCGAGTTGAAATTTTAGTAATTATTATTGGCCACAAAAGGGCCGTAAGGGCCGTAAATGCCGTGGAACCCCCATAACCTTAATTGGACGACATTTCCCAGGCAATTAAAAACAGGGGGTCCCTTTGAAATAAAAGTGAAAGTATTAATTGCTTGAACGTAGCTGTGAGGAGATCCAATTTAATCGCGGTCCCTCAGATCCTCAGCATCATGGTTTGTAATTGTTGGAGAAATGGAAATCATTATGAATTTTGACAAAAACAACTCGAAGCTTCTACTAGGACAGAAACAAACTTACCTCTCCATCAGTTCTGATAAAGAAGATAATAGATTTTAGATTATTTATTATATTACTTATTTATTTTATTTATTCCGGGGCATCAAAAGTAGGCTGCGACTTGATGTTCTCCTAGATAGTCAGTCCTGGCTTTATAGATATTTGCAATCACATCGCTTCTGCGTACAGTCTAACTTGTTCCATAAAAACAATAAAACCCCATTGAAAAACTCTACTAGACTTTGCTAGCAAACATGTTTCGCTCGCATGTATGCAAGTCGGTCCAGGCGAGTCGCTGTTTTGCCCGGATGTACTCCAAGGAGGTGCGCTTTGGTCCCCAGGTCCGGGCCCTTATGATCCGAGGAGTGGATGTGCTGGCGGATGCCGTGGCCGTCACCATGGGTCCAAAGGGTCGCAGTGTCATCGTTGAGAGGCCGTGGACTTCGCCTAAGATAACCAAGGATGGCTTCACCGTGGCCCGTTCGATTGCTCTACATGACCAGCACATGAATCTGGGCGCCAAGCTGGTCCAGGATGTGGCGAGTAAGACAAATGAATCTGCCGGAGACGGCACCACCACGGCCACTGTGCTGGCTCGGGCCATTGCCAAGGAGGGCTTCAGCCAGATCACCATGGGTGCCAATCCTGTAGAGATTCGTCGCGGAGCCATGCTGGCCGTGGACGTCGTAAAGCAGAAGCTGAAGGAGATGTCCAAGGCGGTGGAGACCCGCGAGGAGATCCAGCAGGTGGCCACCATATCGGCCAATGGCGACACAGAGATTGGCCGCCTTATTGGCGAGGCCACCGACACGGTGGGCCCCAAGGGAACAATCACCGTGAAGGAGGGAAAGCGGCTCAAGGACGAACTGTCCATCATTCAGGGCCTGCGATTCGACACTGGCTATGTATCGCCATTCTTTGTGAACAGCGGCAAGGGTTCCAAGGTGGAGTTCGCCAATGCCCTTGTGCTAATCTCCCTGAAGAAGATCACAAGTCTGTCGCAGATAGTCAATTCTCTGGAGCAGTCGCTGGTGCAGCGTCGCCCGCTGATCATCATAGCCGAGGACATCAGCGGCGAGGCCCTCAATGCCCTGTTGCTGAACAAGCTCCGGATGGGCCTCCAAGTTTGTGCAATCAAGTCGCCCAGCTATGGGCAGCAGCGGAAGGATCTGATTGGGGATATCTCCGCCGCCACCGGAGCTACGATTTTCGGCGATGACATTAACTTCTCCATGGTAGAGAAGGCCCAGCTGACGGACCTGGGCCAGGTGGGCGAGGCTGTGATTACCAAGGACAGCACTTTGCTGCTCCAAGGAACGCCCAAGGCGGGCCTGCTGGAAATGCGCATTCAGCAGATCAAGGACGAGCTAGCGGACAAGCAAACGAAGCCCGAGCAGCAGGATCGTCTCCGTCAGCGCCTCTCCGCCCTGACCAAGGGCGTGGCCGTGCTCCACATAGGAGGGGCCAGCGAAGTGGAGGTCAGTGAAAAGAAAGACCGGGTGGTAGATGCCCTGAATGCCACCAGAGCGGCCATTGAGGAGGGCATCGTGCCCGGAGGCGGCACCGCCTTTCTGCGCTGCATCCCGCATCTTCAGAAGCTCAAGCTGGGGGGTTCGGATCTCCAGAAGGGCATTGAGATCATCTGCAATGCCCTGCGAATGCCTTGCCTGACTATTGCCCAGAATGCCGGAGTGGATGGTGCCACGGTGGTGGCGAAGGTGCTCAGTGGATCCGACGACTTTGGCTACGACGCCATGGGGGACGAGTACTGTGCTCTGATCAACAAAGGCATCATCGATCCCACCAAGGTGGTGCGGAGTGCCATCACCGATGCCGCCGGTGTGGCCTCGCTCCTCAGCACCACCGAGGTGGTCATCACAGACTCCCGAGACAATGATCTCCTGGCGAAACTGGCGGGAGGTGGCGGTGCCATGGATGGCCTGGACATGAACATGGGCGGCCTGGATGAGCTCGCAGCCCTGAGTGGACTGGGTGGCATGGGAGGAATGGGTGGCATGGGTGGCATGGGTGGCATGGGAGGAATGGGAGGAATGGGCGGAATGGGCGGAATGGCTGCAATGGGCGATCCCGCTGACAGTCAGTGTCCCACTAACGAGGAGATGAACGAGATGGTCAAGGCAATTCCCGGAATGGAGAATGTGGAAGTACGGGACATAGACAGTAATATGATGTAGGATATATCTTTCATTATTTTAAATTCATTCATTCATTTGGCGTGGTGGAACTTTCGATTGAACAAGCCAAAATTTTCATTGCTTTAAATAAAAATTGTTCAGTGTTGTGTTAAGATGGTGTTGGAATCTGTTTCCCTACATTTGGAAGGATTTCTTTTCATTTTTCATAATTTGTTTCAGCACAGATCTTCCAGGGAAATTACTAATAATAACATCGAACTTTCCTCTCAATTGGCTTTCCAATTATAGTGTTTACAGCCCAAATTGCACCAATTCCACCAAAAAGTAGGCACATTTTGTAATGCCAAAACTTTATTTTACTATTTATATTGCAGCACAAGTTGTGGCATTAAGATTTAATTTAAGTTTAATGTGATATGGGCATGACAGCAACTGCGGGGATCGTTAAATCAGAGTTTAACTGATTTCCTTCCCGTCGTCGTCCTCGGTTTTTGCTCCCCATTTAATTGAGTTAAGCGAATCTGTTAGCCCCCTCGTTTCGCTTTCAATTAAATAAACAACTTTTCAGCGGCTGCCAGGCTGCCTTCCGTCACCGCGTCCTTCGCCGTTGTTATGGCATTTTAACCCCTAATTTATTAATGACTGCCGGCATTTATCAGAGCAAAAAGTTCATATTTCAAAAACTGCCGCAGAAAGGGTTGGAAATTATTGGGCGCCATTTGATTAATGACACTTGCTGCTCCTCAACCGATGGGGGATATCTGGGGGAGCTTCCCATCGTGGGTTTGGGGGATGAATAAAGTATCCACGACCCCCAAAAAGTGTTCCATCAGAATATTTGCCAAGTTTCACTTTTCGTCGAGTCCTGTCACGTGCAATCTGCAGCCGGGTCCGGGACCAGGATGCCGTAGCTTATCCATAACAATGCCCTGCCCTCCAGGATGTTTCTGCATACTGTTGCGCATTGTGACATGCCAGATGAATTTGTCCGAACATGTGTTCAGCTCCTGCTGCAGCTGTTCCAGGACCCCAGTCCCCCACAGTCCCACATCTGGTCCTTGGGGTGGAACTGATACAGATAAATTTAATTTCGTTCGCTCTGTTTGCCTGTCGCAGGACGACAGCCATTGAACTTGCATGCCAACACGAGTTTTGATTTTTCTTGCTGCTCCATCCGTGACAGCCACATCCCCTGCCGTGGAAACAGGCCGTCCTACATTCCTCCTAGTCGACTCTGTCAAGAGGGCTGTCCGGGGTTATTGGCATTATAAACACGTAGCCATGCATACGGCTCTCTCGCTGATGTTATATCATCTCATAAATGGGTTTATTTGTGGTCTTAATAGAGGCTTTAGTTTAACTGTGGTCAATGTGGTACTAAGCATACACGGATGTGAGAATAGAGGTTAATAAGGTGTTCACCAGAGCACGGTGTCGCTTTTGGACTGCTATATATCCTCTAGAGACTAGGAAATAAACTCCGTATAAAAATTTGAAATATTTTAAACCTTAACTTGTTAATCCTAAAGTTATGTATTAGGTATCCTTTTACTATAGCCTTAAACCAAAGATGAAGCTTCAAGATGCGTAACGTAAGTTTTAATTATTAATTCTGGAGCTATCAAAAACACCGACTCCCTCTCTTGTCTTATTATCTTTCTTTAAAAATAAAGTTAATGGTCGTTCGATGCACTGTTCATAAGAGTTTGATGATGAATACAGTGAAAAAATGTAAATGAATTATTGGACTTAATTATTAATGACCAAGCCCAGTTTATGTTGATAAATAGTTGATGAATTTGTCACTGTCACATTAATTTTATCAGTGAATTTAATGAAAATTTATCAATGATTCATTCACTCATTGAGCATCAACGTTTTATTTTTAAGAACTTCTGATAAATTACGAATGACTGGTACAGCAGGTTCTGGATTTAGACGAACTCAAACGCACTTTCTTGTTTTATGTGTACTTGATAATGAAGTATATTTCATATTTCATTTCATATTTTTACGCTTCCAAATTGTTAAATGCATGAGCGTTACGCATCTTGATCTCTAGGAGATCCTTGCTTAAACCTCAATAGTTCGTATAAGAAGTTGCCCTAAAAGTTGTGAGACAAAACTATTGCTAACCGCAAAATCCATCTACTCATCCCTTGAAAAGCGTTGAGAACGTGGCTTTGGCATTTTCCGCTTTCCAATCGAATCCGCTCGCAGAGAAAACTTTTCTATGCATGCGGGGCTTGTCGCTTCCATAAATCACACAACGACGGCAATTCCGAATAAGTTTCCATTCGCGGCATAAATCTGAATATTGCCGGGACCCGGTCGGAGCAGACAACAGACCTAATCCCTGGGCAAACGTGACTCAATTATATGGGCAACCATCTCTGCCATCGCCATGTGTGTGCGGGTGCCACTCAGATTTCATATGATGTTTTTTACACAATGCATAATTCGGAGCGAATTTATGTGGAAAACAATAAAATTAAATTGTTTTCGCATTCGGCATTCGGCATTCGGCATTCAAAGGCAGCGAGCGCCCCGACTGGCAACTGCTGTTCGCATAATGAACTCATCTAGACGAGAATAATAAATTTCCCCGGCACAGCATCCGTGGCAGAAAGAAATGGCGCAGCCATTTCTGGGCACTCCCCCATTCCGGTCCCTCCGGCAAGGAGCACTCACATCTCCTCTGGCATGGTCGTATGTGATTTTATTCCAGGATCCATCCGTCCTTCGCCTCCTGCCGCCAGGTCGTAAACCACAAGTGCCCGCCTTCAGTCGAGCTGCGCTCCCTGCGTTGTGGCAGCGACTTTGTCACTCGGCTGCTTCCGAATCCTGCAGCTTCTGGCTGCTGGCTGCTGCTTGCTCCTGCATCCTGGCTCGTGCCTCGTCGAGTGTTTAACTCATGAACGCCCACTTTGATTTCCATTTGAATTGTGCGCACAGACGGCAATGCGAGCCACTTGTAAAGTTGCCATATGTGCCACCGATTTATGGTCGCGGCAAGTGCCAGAATCGGAAATGGTAAAAGGAGCCCCAGGCCCGAACGAGGTGTGTTCAGCGACCTGAAATTTAAGCAAAGTTTACTCTTTCTGTTTATCTCACGTTTCAAACACACACCTAGGGGAATACTAAATAGAAATTAATCTATTTAAATATATTAATAAGACTTTGAAAGTATAAGCAATTTATTAAAAAAAACTCGGAACTTAGTCACCGCATTCCAAGTAAAACGTTTACGCTAGTTTGCCTTAAAAAAGTGTATTAGAAATTTATATAGAAAATTGAATCCTTCTGAGAACGTAGTATAAAACTTAAGCTTATTTTTATAAACCTATCCCCGGCCTGCTCTTAAATTTATCTTAAATCATCTTCTCTAGTTCGAAAGTAGTTTCTTGGATTGGGCACTAGAATTCCAGAATGTTAAAGACATACGTATAAGTACGAGCAGTCCTGCACCTGAATCGGTAGTTCCTGTACTTCTTTATTGAAAAGCTGGTTCAGCAGCAGATCCTCAGGCCGGGTCTTTCCTTCGGGATCATTTGGTCCCCTTTACCTTAGCCTTTCTCACCATCTTCTTGGTGCTTTGAAACGGGGAAACACTTAGGAATACTTTCACCTGCTGCTCAGACGATTCAATTAAATGCAATTCGCACGCACACATGCGACTGTCGTCCTGGCATCCTGGCATATTGCTCCTCCTCCTCCTGCCCGCCCGCCTGTCATGTGTTTCTTTGAAAAATAGATTTCTAAAACGTTTAAGCTGCAGCATGTGTCTTGAATTTTAAACCTCCGGCCACCCCCCATAAACATATTAAAATTGCGCCAAGGTGAATGCAAGCTAGACAGCCACCCCCGGGTTCCAAGAATCCCAGGATGCCGGATACAGGATACGGGATACGGGAGTCCCGAAATGGAAGGACCTCGAGCATATGCCTTGGCCGCCAAATAGCACAAACGTGACCAAACTTTTTGTGACTCTTTGTGCATTGTTGGCAGGCGATCATTTATCTTAAATGCCAGGCCATGGAAACGGCCTGGGGAGTCCTTTGTGTGGTCCCCACCTCGGACACCCTATAAGAGGGGTAGGCTGGACTAAAGGAAAGCGGTTTCTGATTTCTGAAAATATTCAAGGAGTCTTCCCAACTTTTTGATTTACAAGTTGAAACTAAGCTAAACCACTAAGCTAAACGTACAAATTAAATGTAAACTTTTAACCAGTCCCCAAACTTTCTATTCGAATCCTTTACATATTATATTATATTATCTTCAAGTCGGTATTATATTAAAGATGAAAGCAAATGTGGCATCAGCCACTGGAGTAGAAGGAACCTCTTAGTCTGGACACTTTGTTCTTTCGGCCATCATTTTGGGTTGCTGGGCAACCAAGCTCCTTGGCCGACCGGGGGGAAGTTTTCCAAGGTGAACGCGGGTTGCCTAATAAGGAGCATTGTGGACGATGGAATTCATGGCTCTAAGCCGCTTTGCAGGCAGGACAACCCGTAATGGTCAAAACCTTGAACGAAATGGAAATCCCGCAGTTAAAAAGGAAAAGTTTTCTCCGGGCAGAAAAAGTTGATTCATTGAACGGAAGCGAAGTTCAAATATACACATTTTGCGGGTCAGCCGGGGATCCTTTCATCCCCGAAGGAGCTGCACTTTAATTTTAGCCAGAAACTTTGATTCAATTCAAAGTCCCCCCCATCCTGTCAACCCCTTTATCCTGGCGCTGACACTTTTCCATCTAATTTAAAACCAAAGTTGGCCAAAGTAGTTTCTTTCCCCGTTCATATTTGCATTGCAGCTGAGGCTTATAAAACTTTCTGACAAAACAATTACGGGGCGTGCATAGATAAACAAACAATATATGGCCCTGCTCCTGGGGCCCTGCTTTTGTTTAAAAAGAACTTTCGGCATTTTTGTTTGTTTGCCCAGCGACTTTGTCTGGGATCCAGCTTCCTCCTTGGACGGATATTAAAATTGCAAAATTTTTAATCTTTTTTGCGAGAAGCATTTTACATATTCTATAGATTCCGGCGCACGACATAATGTCCCTATTGGGCGTTCGAGCTCCTGTCCTCTGGTCCCGGTCCCGGTACCGGTCCTGGCTTTCCGGAATCCTGGCAGCGAGCACATAAGGTTG